TCGGTAAATGTCTTGCTTTAGAACGAAACAATAAAGATTGGCGGCTTCTTGGCAAGTCGGCAAATACTAGCGGTGTCCGACGACGAAGAAGTCTACACGTTCATGCATGAAAAAGAAGGTGAATGAAGAAGCTCGTGACGTGCGTGCCATATATCAGAGAAATTCGAACTAACAATACTCTATACTTCCTTCTACGGGATTGCTTTTCAAACGCATGTACGAATGCTTCCTGTTATTACGTCCTAAGGATACGCCTTGCCGGAGTACAATTCTTCCATCAACAATTTCTTTATTCGAGCGTCTTTAGAAGAGATTTTAGAATATTCGCTAATGCGCCAATATCATATTCGCTCATTATATTGTTTGTTCGTTCGACATGATCAAACTTAATTGCATTAAAACTTAGAGTGCCTCGCAACGTCTCGTCGAATAACATTGTATCATATATGCTTGTCCTCTCGCAAAGCTTCCTCGATGAAAACGTACGAAATGACTTTTTCACTTATAAATGGATACGTCAGAGAATCTTGATTTGGGGTGAAACAAATCGACAAAAAACGTTCGATCAAGTACAATATCGAAATTAATTGCATCAAAAAGGATCGTTACATTAACTCGTTCTCATCATTTGGTCAATTGATACGATACGATCGATAAATCCGTAAAGACACACATATTTGCAATCTGTTGTAAAACGAACTTCATCGAAGTTAAAAAGTGAAAACACGCTAGAGTAGAGAAAGGGGGAGGGGGAAGTGGAGAGGGAGGGCAAAGAAATTGCGACGAGTTACTGGCTCGAAACCGTAGGAAAATACGGAAAGCAAATTTAACTGATCTAAGAGAGTATTGTGGAGCATTGGATGCCAGAGAGAAAATGGATAAATTTAAACGAGCAAAAAGACGAGAGACAAAGGGAAGATGAGAGGAGATAATACTAATAGTAGAATGAGAGTGTATAAAGCCAATGCGAAAAGGAAAGAAGAAAAGCGTTTGAGTTAGATGGGGCCAAAACTACTATACATTAGCTGGTTTATAAAATGTCCAACGATCATTATTACATAAGCAAGATGAATTAAGTACGATCAACAAGTTATACGAAATGCCTTCGCTCGAGTTGAATTTCAAAAAGTTACGTGCAACAAAAAAAAACATTTCTATTGACATACTCTAAAAAATAAACGTACGAGTTTTTCGTTGTTTTTAAGAAATTTCTTGATCGAAATCTTTTGACAGATATTCTTAGAGAGAGAGAGAGAGAGAGAGAGAGAGAGAGAGAGAGGGGGGGCTTATTTTTCGACGTATTTAGCTATTTTAATTACGTAAATATTCTCAAAGCGTCGTTCCTTTCGAAATTGCATTAATATCTTGGAAATTAGCTTAGCACCGTTTCTATGACGCGTCGATATCATAATATTGATAATAGCTAAGTGTAATATTAATATCGCGCAAAATATTCATGATAATAATTGAGATATTAAAAGAATCCGCATCCACCGATATTACAAGTACAGAGGTCAAAGCTTTTCCTATGATAAAGCAATATGTCTCTCTCGTTAATACAGCTATGAATTGACAAGGCTATCGGTAATACGATGCACGCTGAAATAATAGACGTTTTAATACAGTCGATATTTTGTGACAATGAGCATCGTTGTAAAGTAACGTAAAACCCATACGACCATACGACGACTTTTATCGTTGTCTCTTAGTTTCTTATCTTCCAAAGCCCTCGTCATAAAAAGTTTATATTTACCAATTGGAATATTGCAAGAATAATCGTGATAAAAATAATAAAGGATTTAATTTAATTTAAATTGAGAACGCACCGTACCGTCAGTCCCTAACTTTCCTCTACTCTTTATAGATTCAAAGAATACGAATAAGATTGCTCGTGGAGAAAAAATAATGTTCGAGTAAGTAGTTATTTTCTCCTTCCAATGGTTATTTACTTACATTGATATATTTCATCGAAAATCAACAAAAGAACCAAACTGATTACCTTCGATAAATATAAATGTAAGATCTACTGCACGCGTACATTCTCCCAATGATCCCGTTTCTTTCGTATCAATGGCAAAAACTAAAGAATTCGGACGTTTATCTTTATTTTAAAAGAATATTTTTCCTACGATAATAGATATAGTAGGTATATAATTAAATTATATGACATGTAATTTTTTGGCAAATAAACGATATTTTTTCACGAACGAGCACACGGACCTTTATTCTTTTTCGAAGAATAGCGATGTTTCCTCGACGCTATGTTTTTAATTAGTTAATAACCTTGGAAGTAACCTTGAACCACATTTTTTCGAACGATAGATCGGAGAAGTCGTCTTTCGAGGTCGAGTGGAAAAACATTCGAGTCGGAAAAACGATTCGACCGTAAGCTCGATGGTCAGTGAATACGGAGTCAGAGAGAGAGAGAGAGAGAGAGAGAGAGAGAGAGAGAGAGAGAGAGAGAAGGAGAGTATTCCTTTATCGTCGAGACTTGGTTCTGTCGGCTTCAAAAATTGAACGAAGGAGATGTGGTTGACTGGGCCAACGATTTGAAACTTAACAATCTTCGAGCGCCTCAATTTTGTTACTTCTCAAAGATTCACCTAAGACCTCATTTTTTATTCTTCCAAAAGGAAGTCGATAATTTTCGTCCCAACGCGATGACAACGATTTGAGTTTATCGAATGATATTCGCGATTTTTTACCTCTTCGGATATTTTTCGCATATAATTTTTTGCATAAAAAAGAGCAAGAAATAAAGTGAACTAAAGTGAATAAAAGTAAGACGAGTCGAATGAAAAACGATATAATCGAACGATTATTAAAGAAGCGCGATAACGACGATCGCTCGATGATCGATATTCTGGATCGAATCAGAAATCATAATATCCCTTCGGCGCGGTGCCTGTAATCATGAAATGACCACTTACGATGCTTTTTCCAAGCTTACTTCGCGAATTGGGTTGGCTTTTCTTCGTAATTTCATACGTTATAGAAGGCGCATTTATTACTTTTTCATAATCGCCGAGTCGAAAGATCCTTCGTTTAGAAAATCGCTTAACGTTCGACTCGCAAGTCGAACGGTTTCAAATGTTATTTAATGTTAGTGGCTTAGGTGAGCATGACTTCGATACGATAGCGGAAATGAAATTGACAATTGCCTTCGTGTTTAATAATTTGGAAAATATTCTCGAGATGGAGCACTTGGAGAAACTCACCGAGCGAGATCCTCCGGTTGAATTTTCTTTTCCTCGATGGAAAAAGGGATTTTCGCGTCTGACGACGCGACATTCCGAGCGACGGTCACGTCGACTATGATACGACGACGATACCGGTCAACATTTTTCAACGATCATCAAAAGAAATTGGAGTTTTCATTAACGAGAATAGAAAAAGAAAATCGAACATGAATGGATGACGTAGTCGGAATATTAATGATATAAGATAGATGAATGATAAAGATAGATGAGTGATATAATAAATAGAGAGAGAGAGAGAGAGAGAGAAAGAGTACGATAATAAAGAAGGAATAGACTATAACGCGTCGATGTACGCGCGCGAACTGTTCCTGATGTTCGTCAGGCGCGCATTCCTTCCTGAGTCGAACTCTCCCCCTCCATCTCCAGTCGTTCCGATTATCATTTCGCGATTGGTCCTCGTCCATTCATCGCACCCCCCCCCTCCCTCCCCGCCGATCATACTCTCGACGATTAAAACACGTTTCCTTGCCTCTCTAAATGCAATTTCTTTTTCGTCAACGTATATAGGTGTCGAATTTCAAAATAATTAGATGCGCGTCCATTTTTATTAAATTTATTTACTCATCGGGAAAGTTTGTTCGGTTTATCGACTATAATTCGGTAAACATTCTCTATCGGATCTATAATCGGTAAACAAGTAAACAAGTAATAAAAATAAAGTGCTTAGAGACGGGAATGGGCATCGTTCCCGTGCTCAACTTGTCGTTTCACTTTCGTGATTCATCTTACGAAATAGCCAATAGGCCAATAGCCCCCCCCCCCCGCCCCCCGCCCCTATGATTCGTTTATGAACGTAAAATAAAGCGAACGAAAATTTATTTGGAATTTCTATTAGCAGATATTATCGAATGAAGTTTCATCCGCAATTTCTTATTTTTATTTCTAATCGGCCATTATGCGAGACCGCGTATAAATCAATATCTCGACAACGTAAAAATTTATTAAACGATCGCTTTCGAATTAATCGCATATCGCGCGATCCTTTCCTTCGTCTACGATATCTTTTATATCTTTTTCATTTCAAAGTAATATATAGATTGTAGTAAAAGAGAGTAGTAGTGAAAGAAACGGGTTTTCATTAAAAGTTCACGTACATTGGCGTGTTTTGTTGTGATAAAATTGGTTAACGGGTACTCCTTTGTTAATTGAATCCGAACGAAGAACGTACATGCTTATCGACTTGACACGGCTTACGCAAAAGGCTACGATCGTTAATTAATTTATCGTTCTAACGACGATAAAGCTAACGCGAATCGGTGGAATGATTAATTACAACGAATGTTCTCCATACCGAACGAGGGGTAGAAAAGAGAAGATGCCCTTTTACGTAAGTCGAACGAGGGTTTGAGATTAACGCGTATTATCCCGAGTCACGTGAACGGAAACGCACAGGCACGCGTTTGAAACTCGCGCGTAGTTTGAGTCAAGTTACTACATAGAACTTACGTATCGAGGACTTACCGACACGACCATTACGTAAACCAAGCGGGAACGAAAAAAAAAAAGGAAATTATGCGAAAAGATATTTGCTAAACTAATCGAAATATTCATCTCTTTCGGCTTGATTAAGATTTTCGATAAAGAAAAGGGAAAATGATTTTGATATTTTCTAACTCGTAGGTTGAAGAGATTTGTTAACTAGTATTTTTTATTACTTTCAAATTAAAGTTAACGCACAAAGTCTTTTTTCTCTCACGACGAGTTGGCACAAACGAGCAGACGTGCGTCTAGGGTAATGAATATTATAGAAATATTAATATATTTAGATATTTTCCTACGTATCCAAATTTTACGATATTTTCTAATTTCTTCGATGGAAAGTTCAATATCGTAATACGTTATTTTTCCGATACATTGTGCTTCAAACGTATTCCGCCTCGATGTACGTTTGACGAACGTATTATATTAACAGCGGGTCGTCACGCTCGTTTCATCATAGGCATTGATCATCGGAAGAGACGAAAAATATTTTATTGTTTTGTCTTTGCCGCAATTACCTTAACCGAAAATCAGTCTTAAAACTCTTGTCTTCCTCTTTTTTCTCATTCCTTAAATAAGCCTATTTTTAGATAAGTGGATTAAAATTGTGATACGTATTAAGGAAGCGTTAAACGTTAAAAGTCTGCGCCGACGTGTATATTTTCGCACTCATCGACGGCATGAAATGAGGAGTTACTTTTTTTATAACGATTTAAATTCTACCAATAGTTTTGCAAATCTTACAATTGTTTATACTTCGAAAGATGCTGTGTCGTGATGGAAAATTGAGTTTGTTTTTCTTTTGTATATCTCTTATTTTTGCAATCCTACCGGAATTACTTTTGAGGTTAGAATGCGATATTTTAAGCGAATATTTTCAAAATACCATGTTCGTGCACTCTCTTCAATATGGTTTTTTGAATTTCACATTATTCCTTGCCTTCCATGGATTTGAATATCAGGTATTAAGCTATTTTTGCTTCATACGATTTTATGAATATTTAAAATATCTATCCGTTAGAGATCCGTTACATTTCATTTCGTTTCTCTTCTTTCAGGTCGCAGTGAGATCCACGTTTTTGGGATACGTAGTTGGTATTGCAATTACGATATTTTCTACTGCTTCACCCTCCTGGCGAATGTTTGGCGTTTATATGGCAGTAATAGCTATATTCCATTATACCGAATTTTTAGCTATAGCGTGGACAAATCCGTCTACCTTGTCTATAGATAGTTTTGTTCTTAATCACAGTATCTCGTATGGCATAGCCGCGTGTTCTAGTTGGATTGAATTTATTGTAGAAAGATACTACTTCCCAGATATGAAAAAGGCCTCCTCCATTTCCTATGTCGGCTTAATATTATCCATATTGGGAGAATTATTAAGAAAAAGCGCTATATTTACGGCTAAACATAATTTTAATCATATTGTGCAAAGTGCAAAGAAGAGAAATCACGAATTAATAACGCATGGCATTTATGGAATATTTAGACATCCGAGTTATGTCGGATGGTTTTATTGGGCCATTGGAACTCAGGTATTACACCTTATAAAATTTAAATATTCCATTCTATATACATAAAAACATTTTAATAATTTACTTTCAATCTTCTTACAGTTGATACTCCAAAATCCATTTTGCATTTTGGGATACGCGGTTGCTTCTTGGAGATTCTTCCACGATCGTATTCTTATAGAAGAAATAACGTTGTTGAATTTTTTTGGCGAAGCATACGTTGAATACCAAGGAAAAGTACCTACTGGACTACCATTTATATCTGGCTATAAAACCGACTTATAGCAAGCTATAGATGTTTAATCAAACTGCATTTTCGGACATCAATGACACGTCGATTTTATAATACTTTTGTCTCAATAGTCATTTGTGTATATAGTATGCTGATATAACTTTATTTTTTCTTTCTCTTATTTTTCTTATGTAAATATAATACTCTTTATATTATTTTTCTTATATATATAATTTATTTATTCAATTAGTAATAAAATGTCAAACGAACGACTTTGCGGAAATTTCTATGAGATTTGTTGCAAGTTAAAATTCCAACGTTTAATAACGTTAATTAACACGAGGATGCAATAAACTGATCTTTCTTAACAAAATTATATTTATTGTCTCTCACACACACACACACACCCATCCACCTGTATATATATATATATATATATATTTGTAATATTATTTTTTAACAACGCAAGCTACATTTTAATCATGTTATGTACTTTCAATTTATAACTTTACATGCGTAATACATCATGCAAGTCATATTAGCATTTGCATTGACATTAATAAGCATTTCCTCAGTGTTAAATTATGCCGTAAACTGTGTTAAATTGTAATTGCGTGTTAAATTTTTTATACATAGATTATTCAATCGGAGGATTAAAATATCTTGTGTTGATGATGTAGAAAGATAACATACAATGATATCTCATATTAGTCCATTCTGAGATTTATGTTCTAAGCTATTGCAAAAGAATTTTATTTATTATACATAAAATAATGGTGATATACAGATTTATGAGGGAATAATAAAATAGATCATTGTTAATTAACGTTAGACAGAGAGAGATCATAGACTTTTTGGCCTATCTCTGTTTCAGCAAGATATTTGATTAAAATTAGAATTCTTGTTTAGAACTATAGAATATATCTGTGAATTGTAAGAATATATTATTAATTACAAGAGTAAATAATCCACTTTTATTTTTATGCACACGTTGCAATATATTCTATATCAATACAATATTTGCAACATGTTTTACTAGCACCAATCGTAACTATTATATTAAATGTTCTAGAAGTAACTTGCATTATATAAACTGCGACCTTTCCAATTTCTTGATAAAAAATAGTACATATTAATTATTAAAATTTCATCTTTTAGCTGAAATTTTATCTATCGAAACTTTTTTCGTCGCGCTTATTTTAACAAAATTCATTAATTTCATTGTATAACAATTGATATTAGTTTGCTATAGTACGAAAGTAGTCACAATTAAAAGATGTAATTGCAAAAACAAGTTTTGATGTTATTCATTCGCTACTTGTTCGATCAAATCGTGATATATTTCAATTAACTTATAATATTACTAATATTTATTGTTAAGTTTCATTAATATCATTGTTAAATCATTATTATCGTCGCCATTTTAAATTGCAAAATTTACAAAAGCGTGTAAAAACAAAGTTTCCTCGCTAAAGATTTTCTCTCGACGTGTTTTGCCTAAAAAAATATATAAGCTTGATTCTTATGTAATAAGTTGCCTCATAAACTTATCCTTTAAATATTTCCTTCATTGTTAAACGATATTGTAAACAAATTTTACAAATTGTGACTTTTTTCATAGATCATTGTTACAATTTTTTAAAAGAATTTATATCCACTGTTAACTGCTGTTATTAGTTCTAAGCTCTAAAAAATAAGACCATGGCAGTGAAAAATTATATGTTATCATATTTTAACACTCTTTCCTTTCTCTTTTCTCAATTACTATGGCAGCTCTAGAAATATATTTTAAATGTAAAATGGAAAATATTACAAATACATGTGTGTGTGTGTGTGTGTATATATATATATATATTAAAAAGTATAAAGTAAACGAAACTATAGTGAATATAATTGTTCTGACAGTGTTAATAATAATGAACTATCTACAAAGTAGAGAACAATATAACATTTCTGAATGGAAACATTTTCAATGGTAGAAATAAAAGATTATTCTGTTAGAAAGTTTGTAAGTAATCAAGTAATTGTTACTAGTTTGTAATAACATCACTGGGAATGATTGTCAACATAAAATACTTGAACAAAAGTCAGAATTACTTTGCTTAAGGTCAGATATGATTCTTACTATTATCAATGAACAGAGTATGATTTTAATCGGATACTTTCATTGGTACAAACCTTTACGGGTTTGTATATCAAAGTCTTTGTCCAATTATAATTAATATTTGTGTATAGAGAAATATCTTGAATTTTTTACAACAATTAATAATGTTTATCCCTATTTTTTAGTGGAAAATTTTTGAAATTACAATAATGCCATACTTTTCGCTGTTACATAACATTTGTATGTAATAGTTTTACATCGCAAATAAACGCAGATTTCTATAAAACGAAACGTATTAACGAACGCTCAAACATCCGCCAAAAGAACCATACCGCTTTGAATATTGCAAAATGTATTGTTTCTTTTTTTTTCTTTTTTTTCTTTGTTGAAAAATCAGATAAGATCATATCCATACGTGTGGATTCTCTTAATATCTTCTTCCCGGATCACCACGGATGGAAGTCTTTTCAACTGGATCACTGTGAAATAATCATTCGTTGCAATTAAATATAAATATAAGCTCGAACAAAAACATTATTTTATAATAGAATAGTTTATAATAATTATGGGAAGAAACGAATTTAGTATGGTTTGCGTATAACTACAATAATTGAACGTACCATGGTTCGGTCAGATTCTTTCCAGATTGCGTTAAACAATTGTACATAAAACAATTAATAAATTTAATAATTGTTCGAATAAATTTCTTTGAAAATATACGGGAATACAAATATTACAAGCAATTATATATTAGCAAAAACTTGGAATATAAGTATACCCTAGAAATTGTATAAATTGAAATATATTTGTCTATTTAAATTAATACATTTCTTATGATATATTAATAGCGCCTATGTAAAAAAGTGTACGAACAACGATTAAATTTCTGTTTTCTATTTTCAACGCGATCAAATGTTGTAACACGATCAAAAGTAAATAACTCTTAATATTACATGTGGCTACATTAGCAGCAGGTTTTGGATGAATAATATTTACAGGAGGTGGAGGTACAAACGCATCAAAAATATCTGCATCTGCGTCCGTAAATACCAATGAAGATGGAATCCATCTCACTCTATGCAGCATGTAACGTTATTTTAAAAAAGCTCATATAATATTTGGCCCCTTGACAAATGTTGCTTAATCTTATAAAATAAAGGTCACGCTTGTTCATCTCCTTACCTGGTACACGGGGAAACGTTTTTCCCTCTAATAGCTTTCTCTCCTATATCAATAGCCCCGGAGTCTTGTACTTCGAGAGTGTAAATACAACCGGAAAATCCTTCGTGGTATCGTCCGTAGGTCATTGCGTAATCGGGTACACCTCCTAGATAAACGCTGCCTCTGGTATTCAAAATTTGTTGCAGCCCGTCGCTCAGTCCACTTTCTGTATGTTCGCCGTTTAACTCGATGCTACCGTCGCTACCTTGTCGTTTTAAAATGATTCTATGCCTTTCTCCGTCGTCGACCCTTTGAGCGGTTACGCGAATAACCGCTGGCCCTGATCCTAAATTGTATTGATATTCCACGTAACTGAAAGGAAAGCGCACGGTTTTTTTCTCTCTCTCTCTCTCTCTCTCTCTATCTATGGTATGACGAGAATAGCCGTAACTGACTTACCCATCAACAACCGCGAGAGATATGTAATCGTCGGGATTCAAATCATTCGGCGTTTGACCGTGCCACATGATCAAGCCATTTGTTTTATTCGTCGATATCTCGAAACCCAATACTTCACGTTCTTCTTCGTGCGTCATTACTGATCTTTCCAGTTCTAACCAGCCATCTCCTTTGAATGCAATGTCATACGTGATCTCTGCTACTGCATCGATAATAATAAAGATACACTTTTAAATCCACCCATCGTAATTAATAGCAATCAGGTACCAAATATATTGCGTAGGATTTTTTTATTACACTTTTGACTTACACTTTTCACAAGTTTGGCCATTAAAGCCAAGCCTACAGTCGCATTTGTAAGATCCGTGTAGATCCGTGCAACTGCCACCGTTTCTACAAGGTGCATAAACTTCACACTGTTTCAATACATTTTCACAATTTCTTCCCGCGTATCCATATTCGCACGTACAGGAATATTCGCGAGAATCTAAACTCTGACAGAACCCGTGTATGCAAGGACTCGATGTGCACGGATCGTACAAAGTCGTTGGTGGACTTGTTGGTGGAGGGGTAATGAGCGTAGTACGTGAAATCGTTTGATTCGGATGAAGCATGGAACAATCTTCGATATTTGCCATATCCATTGCCGATTTTAAGATCTCCAGGCTAACGGAAGCTACTTCGAGCTGTACCATCGAATTCGGTTTTGCACGGTTTGAAATTGCACTAATTGAAATTGAAAACTAAGATATAGCCTAACTAAACTAAAGCTCTTACTTACTTCGCTAATGCACCCACGAAAACTACGATCAACATTAAGATTCTTGTTCAATGTAATTTTTCTACGATCAATGCCACCGATGTATAATGGCGTATTCAATGTCATGGTACGTGCACCACCAGGTGATCTTGCCTCGACAAATGGTTCTCCGTTCACAGATAATTTCGCCTCTTTAAAATCTCTGTTTATCGTTACGTACGTCCATGTTCCAGGTTGCACGATATAATTAGATCTTAATGTGGCCATACCCGAGCCGATATCATAACGGAATTCAACGTGCTTGTTCTTTATTATGAGCGCTGCAAAATCCCCAAGTCCTTCTTCGCTTTGAGAACAATATATCAATATTCCATCTCCTTCGTCGGTAGGATTGAAGTTCATAGCTATTTTAAGCCTATAAGTTTAGACAATAGATCAAAAATAATCGAGCTAACTTTTCATCGATGCAATTCATTCATTAGTCGTATGTAGTAAACATGTTGGTTTAGTATATGAAAACGTTGTTGTTTACAATGGTGACGTATCGAATTGGTATAAACGAATGGATTAATCAATACCCACGATTATGTATGCATGAAACATGAATGAACGAATGTAACATGTTTGTACTGCAAGATACTAAGGAACTTAAGCATTGTGCAGTATTCTGAAAACTTAATGTATAAAAGCACTCTATGGTCCAGTCCAACATCAAAACGCCCTTATTACTCGCGAATGATCTAATACTCGCCAATTTTCGTTTGCATGCTGCGCTTAAGCAACGTAATATAGCTAAAGAAAAAGAGAAGAGAAAGAAGAGAAGTAAGAAACGAAAAAAGAAACACGCGACAAACATGAATTTCCTAAAACAATTGGAAAATCAAATTATATTAGATAAATTGTCACACCAATGTTTATTTGCCTTTATAATATTTATTCATATCTATTTTGAGCATAGGCTTAAGCCCATTGAGTATATAGATGTTGATTCATAGATGAAACAACGTATTTAACATGTTATATAGAATCATATATATATATATATACATACATACATACACACATATATATATATATATATATATATATATATATAAAGTACAAACAATTTATATATTTTCACGTACATAGATATCATATATTTCTATGACATCACGTATTGTCGATTCTTAAGCTTTGCTTCAAATTGTTAAATGCAATATATTTGGCAGTGACTTAACGTCTTACTTTGAATAATTAATATAACTAAATGATGCGTAAGTGTATTAATTAAAAGCTGTACAAAACATTTATCGCTACATTACAAATTGACTGAGCTTCTATTACAGCACCATTCGGGGGAGTTCATTCTGAGAAACTACTTGCTCTATTTAGGCTTCTCCTTATATAGAAAACGCTATCACGCGAAATAAAAAAGAACAATGCTAGAATCTTTGTAAATTAAAAGGTATTCATTGCAAATTCACATGGGTATCTTTGATATCCTCGCCTGCCTAGTGGCAATTGCATTTTTAATTTTCGCGTCTAACCAAAAATGCTACGAATTATTTGGGCTTAATTATATTCAATAATTTTCAACGTGCATAAATATCATGCTAAATCTAATGTTTTGTGTGGTGCAGATTATTGTGGTGATGTGCCCTCGATCGCACGTTAACTTGTCTAACTTGTACGTTGCGTGATCGACTGTGTGTAGTGGTCGAACTCTTTCTTTCCCTGAAAATAACGTCATCTCGATTAGCCTGTTTGAGGATAAAACTGACAGCTAATGTTTTCATTAACAACAAAAGGTCAGATTTGTTTCTCATACGCGTACACTTTCATTCTCTGCATAGAAAAATTAATTGTATTATTACTATTATATGCGGTGTGCATTGTATGTGTGGGCGCGTATAATGTGTAAATCATTCAGTAAATGAAGAAAAAGAAAAAAAAAAATATATTTATATAGCGCAAATGTCCACTTATTTTACTATTATTACAATATCAATCATCTTCATACTATTTTTGGCTAACAAATACGATATTAATTATAATTGTACTAACTCTTGTATTTACACATAAGTCAAATATACACACGGGCATGTGTACAGAAAGAGTGCATTAAAATTTTAGAAAATATACAATACGACCACTACTTACACATAATATGATAAAAAAACCAATTAAGTGACAAAAATATTATTAAAGTCTCGTGCGTATTTTTTAAACGATTACATATACTTGCCTTCGAAGAGCCTTTGGTGTATCATGTGCAATGAAAGCTTTGTCATCGTTAAAAGCTGGTTCATAGATCTTTACCGATCGTTCGCAACGTGAACCAGTTTTTCCATATGGGCAGTAACAATCAAAACCAGTCTCCTTCTCCATACATTTTCCGTCTCCGCAGGCACCTGTAAAAAGTTCATATCGTTTATGTGTCTCACGATATTGCCCGCCCAATTGTACACATTATTTAGACAAACTTCGCATATTTATATCCTTGTTACGCTTTATAAAAAGTTCATAACGCATAATTTTTACCTGGATAACAAGATTGTCCAACAAAGTTACAATGTTTCCCACTAAATCCGGCTCTACATAAACACATATAACCATTCTTCGTAGCTGCCTCCTGGCAAACTCCACCGTTATTGCATGGATTTTCAGCGCACGTTTCGCAAGTTGTTATCCCTACGTTACCCGTTTGATCTCCAATTAAATCAATTTCCTTTTCACCAATGACTAGTCTACTGATACAACCAATAAATCCGATATTCGTAACAGCCTCTTTGATAAAAATACTGTGATTTGGAACTCCACCGATATAAAGTGGTCCCTTAAGATCTAATCCTTGTCTTCGACCAGCTGAAACTCCTCTGTATGGTCCTTGACCATCGACTAGCATCGTTACTTCTTTTCTAACACGTTGAATTTTAATCGTATGCCATTGACCCAGAGTAATCGATTTATCTGCTGATATAACAGCTGATCCAGAACCAAGGTCAAATCTAACAGTTTATAAGAATTATATATATATATGCATCTTCTTTTACGCATATGCCTTTAATAAATGTAATATATAAGAAAAAAGTAATATGTAATATGTGTACTTGAATTGTGGATATCCTCCTACTAAGGATAGAAGAATGAAATCGCCACTACCATGATTTGATTCAGCATTGTATAAGATTATGCCTTCATAATTCTCCGGTTTGAAAGATATTTCAATATTGAACTTGAGATATGAATCAGGTAACGGAGGCAAAGCTATATAACTTTCTGGTGCTTGACTGAAGTTAGGTACGACTCCTGTTACAACAAGCACAGTTGGTACTTCTATATTTACTTTATCATTGTTTGCTATACAAATGTATGTTCCTGCATCTTCGGCTTTGACATTTTTCAATTTCAATTTATTCTGTTAAAAATATCAAAAAAATATATATTTACCAAATCCTAATAAAGTTACACTAAAATACTTTAGTTTTACCTGATAAGTTTCCGTATCCTGAGATAATAATCCACCAAGTTTGTTCCATTGGAATTTAACAGGTGGTTCAAGATCAACGTGACAATCCATTTCAATGCTAGATCCATAAGGTGCAAACTTCGTTTCAATTGCTGGCCCATCGTTATGTCCACCTAGATAAAAAGATTTTTAAAAACGATAAAAACTTGGTATGACAATATTTTGTAGCCGCCTATTCATCCTTTATATTACATTGATACTTACAAAGAATCCAACGGATAGCATTAATATAGCATACAGACGATTGTATTTTATGTCTCTCATAGTAAATTAAATATTATAAATCGATGAAAAATGTTTGATATTTACCCTGTACAATGAGATTGAAATCTTCCTCGAAGATGCCCTGCGGAGTCATTACTGTACATTTGTAGGTACCACTATCGCTAACGGCTACATTAGATAATCTAAGAATATTCTCATATGTTTGAGCATTCGATGGTAAATCTGGATGGTTTGGCCTGGACCATCGATAGTGCGGACTAGGAGTACCCGAACACGCGCAACGTATGTCAACCGTATCTCCGATATTTACAGGATCTTGAGATGCCTCGATGGTAAGTGCAGGTGCAACGGCAGCTGAAATTTAACAGTTACTATTATTTACTTCGTACAATATGTTCTATAAATATTTTAATACAGATTACTACTTTCAACATTTTTTTGTTTTCGGAGCTTTAAAGTTTGTGGAAAAAAAAGAAAACAATTTTACATTTTATTTAAACATATAAATGTGGACAATTCGTTGCCTTATTGAATAAAAAATCTCGCACAAGGAAAAATTTGATTTGAAACCGATCACATGACATGGGATAATTGAAATTTGTCCAATTTAATAATCCTTTCGCTAATGCAGCGTAATATTATACTAAAGTAAAAATAATGAATATTACATATAGTATCGTACATGCAAGTAACATACGTCAACGAACGCGGCATTATCACTATATACGAGAAGGGTGAAGGATCGAGGGGAAGGAGGACGAAATTTAATTCGTCGTAAGGAAAGTGATTCAACGATGTTGTTCTACATTGGCTTGAAACAAATAAATATAACATACATAAGATATTTAGGAATGGGAATAATAAAATGTTGACAATACGAATTAATTGTCTGATCGAATGGATCGATCATCGAATAAGAATAGGTAACACAAAGGATGGTGCTAAAAAAGATAAAACAAAAATATTAGACTATACTACAAGACGTCACACGACACACAAATCTCAAAACAAACCGCGTCGTCTTTGAAGAAATTGGCGATATTGCGGGATGCGGCAGAAGCGTTCGTCAGTACCATCGTTGCATTGAGCATAGCCGTCGCAAAAGTAATCCAAATGAATGCATTGTTGACCGTAGCACTGATACTCCCCGGGTCTGCACTGGGATCGGTACACTGGCATGCAATCCGCAAGCAAATTAACTACTAAATCATATAACGCGAGCTTTGTAAAAATCTAATCTGATAAATTCTTTCATTGAAACCATAATTGCAATCATTTTTTTTTTCTTCTTTTACAGACAAATATATTTTACTACTGATACCATTTCTAATGTGACAAGCTGCATAACAAATTTTGGAGAAAAAACATGAAAACGCTTTACTCATAGTATATGTAAATTGTTTTCGTTGAACGAACGATGAAAAAAATTTCCATCGTTTGTATTAATTGTTATTAGAAAATGTTTGGACGATCTACGTATCGACGAATGTCGAGAGATTATGGGGAGGGGGGGGGGGGAGAAAAAAATAAAGGCAGCAATGTAATAAATTAACAATGCTATTCAAAAATAAATGGAAAAGCTGGAAAGAAAGAAAAAAGAGAGAGAGAGAGAGAGAGAGAGAGAGAGAGAGAGAAAAGAGAAAAGTTCGAAGGAATCAGATTCCCACTTAATCAGAAAGAAATATTTAAGATCGATCTACTTCAGCAATATTAGACGATACTTATTAATGAGACTGAGCATCAATTGCGATAATACTTCATGAAGTTTAACCGAAATAGCAAGCATATGTATATAAGAATGTACTACTTACGTATTACATTTAAATTAATGTAATCACTGGAAACTCCATGGGAGTTACGAATTTGACAAATATATCTTCCACTGTCTTCTGGTCTCACTTGCGTCAATTCTAAATAGTCATCGCCAATTCGACTATGTAAAGGCAAAAATTGGCCCTCTCTACTCCATTCTATTGCAGCATGTTCTCTGATTTCGCAACGCAAACGTACAGAATTACCTGGATACGTTGTAACGTCCCTTTGCGTGGCACGAATGCTCGTGTCGTCGTAGGTATGTTCTGATAAAAAAACAATAATAATAGTGATTAATTATATTAATATATACGTATGGGATTTAAAAAGGATACAAACCATTTACTATGACTTCCGCTACCGCCTCCGCTGTGCCCGCTTCGTTCGTGGCCTTGCAGACATATTTTCCGGCATCTGAATACGTTATACCGTGGAATTGTAAAACGTTATTATCATTGGATACGGAATAGGGAAGTGGCCGTCCTATAGCTTCCCACTGAATGTGAAGGGGCTTGTCCCCGGTTGCGGTGCAAGTTATAGAAGGATTTTTTCCAGGTCCAACAGTTTGACGAGTTGGATTTAGCTCGATTCTTGGTGGAGCTGAAAAACGAACGAGGAGGAAGAAGAAGAAATATCAAATATTTTTAACGCTTTAATACTTTTTTCTTCTCACTTATATATATTGTACTTTTCGGAATACCCACATATAATTTCCAGATGAGATTTAGCCTTGAAAATGACCGTCCCGGCGGGATTTAAACCAAGACAAATGTATTCTCCTGCGGCACTTTTGTCGACCGTTGGAATGCTTAAAACGCCATTATGAACGGTACTGCCCTTCGGTAAGGCACGATGATCGCTTCTCTTCCAGTCAAGATAAATCTGATCGCCATCGGGGGCAATTACCTGACAACGCATTTCCACTTTACCGTTATTGGGAATTCTTAAAAAGTCTTCAGGAATCAATACACCACCTTCGTAAGGATTTCTCTAAAATTATAATAAGAATAATCGAATCGTGACGATACGAGCCATGATAATTAGGGAAATATTGGCGATTAGTGATAAGCATACGTGATCCTGAATTGGTGGACGTCTGTTGTCATTATCACACGTCATCATATCACCTCTGCAAGGTGTAGATTCAATATCGTTGTCCTCGATCCGTATTTGTACACGGTCCTCCACTATGCCTACCGAATTTGATGCTTGACAAGAGTACGAACCTTCGTCGTCGGGAGAAACCGAGAATATTTCGTATACCGCACTTAACGGCGTTGCTGCAGTTTTGCTGTACGCATCGCTGCAAACATAATGAAAATCTCAAAGTCGGTTAGAGACGACTCTTGAAAGGTAAGAAAAATTTTTCTAAGGAGAAAACGTAACTTACTACGTGGCCAATCCATTGATATGTTTACTCCATGCAACATTTGGTTGCGGATGGCCTACAGCGCTGCAAGCCAATCGCACCCTATCTCCAAGTTTGACTTGCAAAATACCTGCCCTTGGTTCGATCGTAATAACAGGTATCGACTGTACTTCGATATGAGCTATCTCAGAGACGGAACCAACTTCATTTGTCGCCGAGCACACGTAAGAGCCACCGTCGTTTATCGTAATATTAGAAAATCTCAATAATCCGCCAGGAAGTTGTTCGATGTTCGGAGCAAATGATCTACCATCTTGACGAGACCAGCGGATCTCGGGAAGTGGAAGACCGGCTATGGCGCGACATTGTAAATCAGCAGAGCCGCCAAGCGTAACTGGCTGGATGTCCTTTGGATATAATTCGAGTACCGGAATTTCACGAGCTGCGAATATTCGAATAAAAGTTTCGTATTCATTTGTCCTTAAGATATCGTCAAGATAACGGTCGTTCGATTTATAAATATGAAATTAATGTCTTACGTTCTACTTCGACGATGGCACTAGCTTCGTAGCTGCCTATGGTACTACTGACACGACAGATATAAACGCCTCGATCGGAAACTTGTGCATTAATAATTCTAAGGGTATCTCCGACTTGTTGGACGTTAGAATTCATCGTTTCCGACAATTTGCTCCATTTCACTTGGAGACCCGGTTCTCCGCTCGTGACGCAACGTATTTCGGTCGACGTACCTTGAGATATCGTTTGCCTTTCAGGCTTGACTTTAACCGTTGGTGGATCTCTTCGTGGAATAATCGTTATTCTAGCGGTAGAATTTGTTTCTGTTCCTTTGTAACTGACAGCGATACAGACATATAAACCGGAATCATTAATCGTCGGATTATTGATTATCAGAGTACCATCGCGCTGAGTCGCGGAGTAAGGTAGAGGCAAACCGTCGGATCGAATCCACGTTAGGTTTGCATTTTGCGACGGGGTACAAGTTAATCTGACGACATCTCCGATAGAACCAATCCATTCGGCGGGTGTTATAATCGGAGCCAAACCAGTAGCCGGAGGACCTTCTGGATTTTCTGTGAATAATGCGCTAATGTAGTAGTAGCAGCCTACCTATATCTATATACGATCAATCTCTATATACCTCTAACGTATAGAATCGTTGTTTTTTCCTCCACCCCGACGTTATTCTTAGCAATGCATTTGTATTCGGCCGCGTCGTTTCTCGAGGCAGCTGGGAGCCTCCAAACGCCATTATGGAACGACGACTCCGAGCTGATACTTCCGTGAAGTCGGATCCATTCTACTTGCGGAGGGGGATTACCACTGGCATCGCAATGAAATTCTACCGGTTCTCCTTCTTTTACTTCGAGGTAAGGTGGCATAATGACGACTCGAGGTTTTATCTGATTTGCTCCTGAAATCGTATAATCAAAGCATCAACTTATCGTTAACTATTTCTACGTCATCAAGAATATACCTGGTATCTCTAATAAACTTTTCGGAAAAGCTGCGTCCGTAAGAAATATTACAATTCATTGACGATATTAATTTATTTGTATTAAATATTATATAAAAGGACCTTTCTGGTCTCGTTCATACCTCCAACGGTCAGAGTAACTTTTTTAATTCCAATGTTTATCCCGTCGCTAACTTGACAAACGTATATACCACTGTCGGATACTTTGACGTCTCTAATAATTAAGACTCCGTGAGAATCGTCTATGCTTCTACCCGATGGTAATTGGCCACCTTCCTTCTCCCAGCGAATATACAAAGAGCCCTGTGTGACGTACGCATATAGCATATAGAAGAAGATTTAACAATTGTTTGATTGTATATATATATATATATATATATATATATATATATATATATATATATACATATATACACGCGTTATTCATAAACTTACATTGTCAAGCGATCTACCGCTGCAATGGTATCTAACGGTATTTCCAGTATGTACAATTTGGAATTCTGGTTCTTGTACAAAAACGACAATTCTTGGTGGGGTAATCGTCGGTGTTGGAGGAGGAGTAGTTTGAGGATATTCGTCTAAAAGATAAATCTCAATGTGAAAATAATTTGTGCGATCTCATTTTATAGTTTTATATATATATATATAGATAATCCGTTAGAAAAATGTTACGGCTATAATTTCTAACGGAGCCTCGATTGACTGAAACGGCCTTACTTCTTACCAATGTCTTGACAATTTTGTCCTGTATAACCTGGCAAGCAATTACACTTGACGTGTCCGGACCTATTGATCTCACAATTTTCTTCGTTGTTATTACACGGGCAAGGATTGCAGGAGCCAAGAACGCTAAAAGCTCTGTCACTGGTATCTCTGTAATATCCACGAGCACAAGTTTCGCAAGATGTTCCGACGTAACCGGCTGGACAACGACACGCTTCGACGTTAGGTGCTCTTCTATGTCCAGAGAAATTTTCTACCGCTGTATCGAGACTAATGTCGCTGATGTAAGTCGCCGTCATTTCTTCACTATGAGAAGCTCGGACCAGAATAGCTTCGATATTGGAAAGAACCGTCATCATATCCGTACGAGAAGCACTCCGTGGACCTGCTGTCGTTAATCGTTTCCATTCTGATTCGTTCAATACAACGGAATAGGTCTGAAAGAAAAGTTAATAATATGCGTTTGAAATATTTCTCCTTCCGAGCTGTTATTTTATACGAACCATTGGTATGTCCGGTGAAAGATCTACTGGATTAGTCCAGAATAATGTGATGCCATTTCCAATGAGTAAAACGTCTTGATCTTTATAGGTTTGTGCGCCAGGCTGTGCGGTGATGTGCTGAGTAAAAGTTAAACTGCCACCATAGCTTTTTACTTGATTACCGGTGAAAGCGGACGGCAAAGACCAAAATAGTCTGCGACTACGATTGTCGGGATAGCGATATCCAATTTCGTTCATAGCAACATTCAAATCAAAGCCGTCGTTTATAACGTCTTGTCTCGTGCTAATTTGAAAATAATCGTTATTTGAATTCCGTTAAGTTCTTACCGTTATACCGTAGGTTATAATCGTAGGTTATAACGTAGACTGACTTATTATTATACGGATTAGATAACACTTACTCATCGGTAAGGGTAAATCCATGATGAGAATCGTAAACCCATATTGGTATTTGTTGAACGTAGAGCGAACTTTCGTGGCATTGTTTGGTCACGCCACTGCAATAACATTCGTTACAACCGTCCGTATTTTCTCTGGACAATCCAAAGGTACCCGGACGGCATCTGTCGCATTCCGGTCCCTCGACGTTCCTCTTACATTCGCAGCGACCGGCGAAACACAAGGAGCTACGGGATCCAGCTTTGTTGCAGTTGCACTCTTGAGGATCATTTCTGCGCGTACAATCACTGGAAGTACCACGAGTCGCGTCTCCTTCGTATCCGGATTCACATCTCTCGCAGTATTCTCCGGTAGTATGATCGGCACAATTCTTAAAGACGTTAAATTGGAATCGTTGAAATATTTTCGATGCGAATTGCGATATGATAATTAATAAATATCTTTCATTTACCTCGCAAAGACCGGTTTCGGGATCGCACTGACTCGAGTGTCCGTTGCAATTACAAGGCTCGCAAATTCCAAGATACAAGCCTTCCATGGCCCTTGTATAACCAACGTCACAGTCCTCGCACGAGAGTCCCTTGTATCCAACGGGACAACTGCATTCCTCAACTTCGACCGCTCTTGCCTTTCCGGTGTTATGCTTTTCTGCCGTGTCAAGGGAAACCGAGGAAAGTCTGAAGAGAGAATTTCTTTCATAGGACAGGTTTGCGTCGAGTTATGAATATGAAATGTTGTATGTTAGGTATGGATGGAAGAAAAAAAAAAAAAAAAAAAAAGAAAAGTTGTACTCACGCCGTCTCGTCGGTGTGGGTCGTGTAAGTAGCCTTAATCTTGATAGCTCGTACGTCCGCTAATGCCATTAAAAGATGTTCTCTGTCGGCTGTAGTTCCATCGGCACGTTGCCAATATTGCTCGAGCAACGGAACGACGAACGATTGTTGAGAATTCGGTTCGGGAGATTCTCGCGAATAATAGAGCAATTTAATGTCATTGGCCTGTCAAACGTCAGAATTGCGTATTAAACGATTAAATAATAAAGATTAACGATAGGATAAAGGATCAATTTCCAAATGAATTTTGTTACTTACGCTGATCAATTCGACGTCCGCGGCATTGTTTCTCGAACTTTGGCCACCCGGCGATGGAACGTATCGAACCGTATATTTCAGATTACCACCGTACGATGTTATTTGATCGCCGAGGAAAATATTCGGTAATTGCCAATAATAAACATCATTGTTGCCGCGATTATGAAAATCGTTGTAGACTATTTCGCGATTGATCATATCGAGTCGAATGCCATCCGTTATCGGTGGTGCGTCGGGTGTTTTCGATTCGGTCAGCGTAAAACCTCGTAAGGAATTTGTGAAGGACACGTGAATCTGTAGAAGAGAACGAAAAGAAAACAAACAGAAAAAAGGATTGTATAGGACGATTGCATAATTTAACGGTTACTTTGAAGGAATACGACGGATACGGATATTTAATTATTCGTAATTAAACTCGTGTTTGCATTACCTCGTTTCTGTACCAATTGGACGATACACATTTATTCGTAATACCCATGCAAAAGCAACTTATGCATCCGAATTGATTCCTAAAGCCCAGGTTGAATGTATTTGCCTTGCATTGGTTGCACGTCAGGCCCGTTGCGTATAGCTAAACACAATAGGTATGATGTCGTTAAATACCGCGTAATACTTAAATCGTACTACACCTAACCGAGTATATTTCCAGAAACGGCTTGGTCTATCTTCGTTAAGAAAAGAAATAAAAACAGTTCGTCGTGGTGCACTAATTCGATGAAGTACTTACGTTTTTCGTACCGACGAAGAATCGAGAAAGATCGAACGCATTAAGAATAATAAATATAAAAGATAAATATCGAATAGGTGAAATGTTCGAGGAAACGTTCGAAATAAATATGTGATACCTTGCAACGACATTTTCCGGTATTGGGATCGGCGTTCGGTGTGAGACTACCATCGGGATCGCATTGTTGCACGGGTACGCACATATCACCGGGAATGATAGGATTTCCTTGATAGCCAATAGCACATTGTTCGCACCTACGACCGACGTATCCAGCTGGACAATCGCACGTAGGCTCACCGTCCGATCCGAGATGACAGGTTCGTGTGAATCTAGATAATTCGTTGTAAATCGTTAATAACGTTACCCTCGCAATGTAATCCACTAGATTAGAGATCGCGAAGGATAGAGGAAAAAAAGAAAAAAAAGATCGTCTCCTCACTGATTCGATGGATTGGTCAGAGGACATGGACAAAGCTGGCAAGGTATGTTCCTCGAAGGATCTCCGTAGTAACCAGGGGCGCAGGGTGGATCGTCTCGGTAACATTGTCCAAGCCACGGTCCGGTCTCGCGTCTAAGATATCCCGAGGCACAGTTCTCGCACGAAAGACCGTTGTATCCTTAGAATATATAACTCTCGTACGTTATTAAATATTTATCAGGTCGATAGCGTACAAAGGGAGGGGGAGGGGAGAGAGAGAGAGAGAGAGTACGTACCGGTAGGGCATTGACACTCTTCCACAAAGGACGCGGATCCTAATCCGGTATTGCGCACGTCGGCGGTGTCCATTACGATATTGGTGATACGCACGTCCAATTGCGGGGAATCTTCGTATTTTGCTCTGAACGAGAGCAAGGAATAATAAAAAAGAAGAAGAAAAAATAAGAACCGAGCGGATTAAAAAGAGGATCGAAAGATCACGTAGGAGTACGTACTTGATGAGAATATTGTCGACGTTCGCCAGCGTCATCATTATTTCTTCTCTGGATGCCAGTACCTCGGAGTTACCATGACGCTTATACCACTCGCCGTAGAAAAATCTAACGGATTCTTTCGTCTCGTAATCGGGAGGTATGTGGTTGCCTTTGTGAACGAGTATGTACTTGTTGCCAGTAAGAATGACCGAGGGCGCGTCGTTAGGCGCACCATTGCCATTGTAATGTATCGTATAAGTCAAGTAACCACCGTAAGACTTTAATTGGCTACCGTGATAATTCTCGGATAAGGCGTAGTACGGTATCCTGTAGGTACTCATTTCGTTGCTAAACGATTCGAGCAATTGAATCCCATCACGGCCAATCGGTCGAACCTCCGATATTTGATCTTTGATGTCACCATAAAAACGTATTTCCGCTTCCGTTTGTACCGATATGATTTTGTGACTTTCGAACGGAGGTGGTATCTGATAAGTGAACAAATTTGCGCTACGACACTCGGTAGCTACGCCGAAGCAGAAGCAAGATATGCACTCGTCGACGGAACGCGCCTCGGCATTGAACGTTCCCTTCGGACAAATGCCCTTTGGCTCTTTTACCACCAAAATAGCGTCCGGTTGGGCTATAACGAAGCCGACAACGTTCAAAGCCTCGCAGGAGTAAGCGCCCGAGTCCTCTGGCTGTATATCAGGGCACGTTAATGTCCCGGTTCCGTTCACGGACGTACTGCTGCATTTCGCGTGTATGTGTCCCCAGTTTAGTCGCCAGTTTATCTCCGGAATGGGTACGCCGATTGCCGTACAGGTCAGTACCATAACGTCACCCGGCTCGAGGACTACCATAGGCGGTGGTGGCTTAACGATGTATACGGGAGCTGAAAGAGATTATATATCGTTTCTATGATTATATGAAATATATCGTTATAATGAATTATATTAAATGAAAAGTCATGTATCGACGACGACTCACAACAGCCAAATTCGTCGCTACCATCGAGACAGTCCCGTTCTCGATCGCAATGATAAACCTTCGGTATGCATTGATTGTACGACGCACAAGCGAATTCGTGATAACGGCAGGGTGAACCAGGCGGAGCAGGTGCACAATCCTCTTCGTCGCTGTTGTCGGCGCAATCCCTTTCACCGTCGCAACGCCAAAGCTTACTCACGCACTGCTTGTTGTTGCATCTGAATTCGTTGGGCTCGCACCCGTGCGGACCTGAAAAAAATAATCGTAGGAAATATATAGGAAAAGTAACGATTGGATTTGATTATATATCGGCGATGGCCGAGAACAATTGTACGTACTGCATCTCATCTCGTCTGAGCCGTCGGTACAATCGAATTTTCCATCACAGACGTACGATTTTGGAATGCAATCTCCGTTGCTGCAAGTGGCCTGATCGTATTGGCAGACTTGTGGGGGCCTCGTTGTTGGTTCCTCGACTGCGAATAGAGCAATATTGTGACTCGTTCGTTCACTCGAACGGGATAAAGCGATAAATGAAATGATAAAGAGAACGAAATAAAACAATTTTTTAAGTAGAAACCTTTTACATACACTTTTCGACAGTGAGATTGACGCTTAGCCGACTTCCTGGCATGGATGGAGGATAGCCCACTGCTTCGCAAATGTAAATTCCCGCATGATCGAGCTGAATGTTTGGTATTTCTAATCTGCCATTAAGATCTCGACTGGCAGGCGGTAGAGGAAGATCGTTATCGCGAAGCCAGCGTACTCTTGCACGCAGAGGACCTTCGTCACGGCATTGGAAGACGACCTCACGGCCTGTGCACGGTAATGCGAGAGGTAATGCACGGGGTGCGTTATTCAAAAATCCTTTTTCCTAGTCGATCCTTCGTAGCCGTGGTGGATTATGTTATTCCATGGGCGACTCTCTTAACGCCCGCAAGGGCCGATTTATAGTCGCGTTAGCTAAGACTAATGTGCTAGTTTCATCGTGCAACGTGCAACAAATTTATCGCAGTTACGTTAACGCCAGAAAGATTTTCATTAGTACGGACGTGTTAATGTTACGTGTTTTTTGAATTTGAATTTGAAAGAAATTATATTTTCCCGAAGATAATTCTCGACAAGCTATTGTCTACGAACGATTCTCTTTCTCATACGTCCGAAACAACGTTATTGTCGAAATGTCATACAACGTTATATTATTTATTAAAATTATTGATTAACATTTTCACAGTCGCTTTAGTTGCTCCGAATTCGATTATCATATTATATATTCCGTATCTCTCGTACGAAAGAATAGGATAGTGGAGGGAGATCATGCTAAGCCGTATTTCATGCACAAGTTTACCTTCGGCATTCACGTTCGAACGAAGGGAAACGTAAGTTACGCTCCAACGGTTATAAGTAAATAATTATTTTTTTTAACGCGTGATAAACAAGCCACTTTTTCGAATGCACGAATTTATGGATGTATCTTATGGCTCGTGAAAACCCACAATGTAAAACCAACGAGGCGATACGTCCTACATTAATAACATTATTTTAATGTATGTAATACTGTCTGTAATGAAGAATGAAGATTATGTGAGCCCATATATGTGTGTGTGTGTATACATATATATATATATATACACGTGCGTATATATATATATATATATATATATATATATATATATATATATATACTTTTTCAAATCTCTTACCTTGCTTCGCCGGGTCTGGCCAAGGCAAGAAAAATACAAGAAACATGAGTATTAATTGGCTAAACTTTTGCACTTAAATGTCTTCAATTATTTGACCGCTCTACGATTTCGTCTATTTTCAATAACAAACGATTGATACGAATCAATTGATAAGTAATCAACGTCCGGTCTAACTAATATTGTAAACGAACAGAATTGAAAATTAAAATTTCGTATACTTACTCTCCTTGATCACTTGCTCGCTCGGATAAGTTTTCAAGTTCAGTCCGGTCGATCCACCGGTTGGACCTAAAAAAAAAATAGGAGACAATGTGAAATAAAAGTCGCTGGAAGAAGAAAAAAAAGGGTGGGGGGAAACGAAGGAACAAAAGACGTCCGAAGATGTGCTGCTTATTGTTATTTAATGGGAAAGATATTAAATTGCATCCTGCGTTATGTAGGCAAGTACGTAGTAGGTACGTTAGTCGGCTCGTTTTTATATACACCACGTCATCCACGGATTAATTATAAACGCGACAAGCCAACTTTCGTGTTTCGACGAGTTGGAAGGTGATAAAAGACATAGGGCATTATAAAAATTATGCTAAATAATATCGTGCCTATAGTCGTCGTTCTGTCCTACGAATTATCGAAAATATTATTATAATTACAATAATCTTTGGCGATGGAGAAATTAGAATTAAGGAATGCGACATAAGTGGGAACCGATGAGATTTTTCTGCGCTATCCAACTCACGAGAATCGTAACTACAGTCGAATTCGTCGGACATGTTGTCCGTAGGACAGTCAATCCTTTTGTCGCAGCGCCGAGACAACGGTATGCACTGGCCCCGTTATTACATCTCCACTCATACAATTCGCATCTACTGTTATTTTTCTTCCCGAGCGTATAATTACAACCGAGTATAATTCGTCGCTCTCGTCGAATATACAATTGACGAATTGGTTGCAACGTTGATAAAGATAAATGCAACTGCCGTTCTCGCATCTCCACTCGTCCAACGAACACTCCTCCTCGGTGTAATCTTCGATTTGATTCGAGGCCATTAATCGGCGACTTCTTACCGATCGGTTTAACGATTTACGGAAATGACCTATTCTCATAGCCTTCCTCCTTCGAGGAGGTCAAGTGGGATAAAGGCAATATTAAAGAAATCTTACCGCAATTGTTTTCGTCGCTGGCGTCTCGGCATTCGGGAACGCCATTGCAAATGGATGACTGCGGTACGCAGGCCTTATCCAAAACGCATTGGAATTGTCCGGCTGGACAACGACCTGGCATCGGACGGGCGCCTGGTCCTTCTGGCTTGAGCGTCGTTGTGTCTGAGGAGAAAAAGAAACGGGGGGGAAAGAAAAGAAACGATTTAAAAGGGGACGAATCACGTTTTAATTCATCATTACGCTATCGCCTCGTATATAATTACCACACTCGGAGGGTTCGTCCGAGCCATCCTCGCAATCGATACGTCCGTCGCACCTTTGGTCGTTTCTAATACAATCGCCGGTTCTGCATTGAAACTGATCTTGTCCGCACCCTAAAATCGAAGATTTCGTTCGATCGTGTATAATCGTCATCGTCACTTTCTTGGCTCGGATCGAATGAGCCAAGTCTCAAGCACAGACATACATATTTATACGCAAATAGAAAATATACCGTGAAAATTTTTATCGAGAAAAAAGAACTTTCATTACTTTCTAAACAGATTATAATGTATATACATATATATATATATATATATATATATATATATATATGTATATACATATATATCTATGATCGAAATACGATGAGCGACGGAGGAGATGTCGTCGAGTGACCTAAGAAGGAATTTGGTTAAAAGACAGTAACATGAATTCGATATACTTTAACATATTAGCATACAGAGAAGAAACGGTAACTACATTAACGATTTAATCGTCGTCCTCGCTGCGCATTCTTTGCTCTGTGAACATAGACACATACATGGAAGAAAATATAAATTGACAATGGTCGAAACTAGTTTTCTACGAACACGTAATTAAAAATGGACAATTCATGGGAAAAATCCTTCGAACGCATTACGCGCATTTTAAAAGGATGTAAAAGTTATCGATCGTATATAGACGTATACTTTTACACTGGTAAACGGAGTTTTGCCATGAATCGATAAAATATCGATAGACGTCAGAGTGGAAAAATGATTTGCACGCAAGTTCTACTAGAACGTTATCTACGATATTCATTCTCAGCATGCTCAATACGACGATATTACCGACTAAATATGCTCTATCTAAGGAAAATGGGGGAACAATCCAGTACTCAGAATACCAAGGCAGAAATGCACTATTGGGAATGGGTGCGTCCGATAACGAGATCGCAACGACTCGACGATTCGCAAAATATATTTCTACCAAACAACCTACGCAACTTCTAATCCAGCCTCTAACACAAATTTATAGGAAATTTAACGTAGACCAAGAGAATCCAAGAATGGATAATTTTACTCGTGGATGGGAATGAAAATAAATGAAAAAGAGTGCGGACGTCGAAGGAAGAGAAGGAAGGACGAGACGAGAAGAGAAGGAAGGAAGGAAGGAAGGAAGGAAAGAAGGTTGGATAGATTATCAAGGTCTACGAATCACAAGGTGATCTAACCGAAGCAGTATTGTTCGTCGGTAAAGTCGCGACAATCGTAGAAATGGTCGCAGTGATGAGTTTCGGGGATGCAAGTGCCGTCGGCACAAAGAAAATCATCCGGAGCACAACTCCTCGGCGTGCTCAGATTAGTCGGCAACTCGGGAGCATTTGCATCCGTTTCTGGGCTGTAAGCCTCGCCATGGGGTATCCCCGCGACGTTCTCTTGATGCTCCCTCGAGGAGCTTTTATCCGGAACATCTACGAGACCTAGAAGTAACCGAATCTGTACGAGACTGTTTGCATTCGTCGCACCTATCGTCCCGGACGATCTTCCCTTCCCTCCCTTCCCTACCCTTCCTCCTAGAAACCGTCCTAGAAACACGATACTTTGTTTGTTTTTTCTTTCTTTTTTTCTTTCTTTCTTTCTTTCTTTCTTTCTTTCTCGCGACTGATTCTCTTCTATTTAATAGATATTTCACGTACGTCGTCGTCGTAGTCGTCCGTGCGTCGATAAACGATCCGTTCTCGATGATGATCGCTATGGATGTAAAAGATCAAACGGGATGTGCAAAGTGATGCGCAACGTTCACGAGCAGTGAAGGAGGATCGTGGTGATATTTCGTGCCAGTTATTTTCTACTTATTTCAAACGAAATGGTGCGCACCGTGCGTCGTGGACGGTTCGTGTGTTATATACATATATATATATACATATATACATATATATATATATATATATATATATATATATTGCAAAGAGACAAGCGGATCGAACGCGCTCGGACTTTATTTCCGATACGTTCTTCGATCGCGAGATCGAGCATTTTCAAGAGATAACGCTTTCGTTTACCTTTTACTTAATCGATCGTCGTTTCTCTTGCTCGGATCAAGCCGATCAAAATTAGCCCGTGCGATTCCTACGAGCAAAACTCGAGTTTTCGAGTCTAAACTCGACTAAGAGCGGTTATTCAGCGACTAGTCGATTTAGTCGTTTTCCTTAACCTTGCAAAGGTAAATACAAACTGCCTCGTGTACGTGCCGAAAATAAAAAGAAGTCGCGTCAGCTCTATTCGGCCGTCGATAGGGGATATTCCTCCTTGTTGAGAATTAGAAGCGATTACCGTGACTCACCGTGAGGAGAACAGCCGAACTCATCCGTACCCTCCGAACAATCCGATCTACCATCGCAGACGAGATATCGAGGTATACAAGATCCGTCATTGCAGGTGAACTCGTTCTCGTTACACTCCTTCTCCTTCGGATAACCCTTTTCGCTCGTTGCCTCGTCGTCTGAAAGAAACGATCGAAATTATGCGTCAAATCCTTTCTATATTTAATCGTCCGTTTCGAATTGAACGGAAAAATTAAACGTTCTTACGGCAGTCAAATTCGTCACTGCGATCCAGACAGTCGTAATTTTTGTCGCAGAAGAATCTCTCGTCGATGCAAACGCCGTTGTCGCACGCTCTCTTACCAATCGGGCACTCTGCAATCGTCGAATTTATTCGTTTGACGTATCGTCCAAAATGGTCAGTCGCTTAGTATCGTAAAAGAAAGGAAATTTTCTCGGAATAAGATATTTTACAGACGACATAAGATACGACGATGCACGCTTTCTCTTTACTCAAAGATATCAACTACGTTATAATGTCCTTTCTCAAGTTTATTATAATAAACGCTCGTGTATTTACGGGAGCCTCTATTTACGCCGCTTTCAGGACTGTGAACAGGCGGACGAACGGAACGCGGATGTTCGTATTAAGCGCGATAATCGATAATCGATAAATTCTCGAGGGACTTTCCAAGGAGTCCGCTAGCTGTAAATAAGTGCGCGTCACGGACATAATAGCTCGCGTGCATCGTCGTGGTACGTATGCGATTACAACGTTTCTCGACGGAAAAGAATATGCAAATCACAAAACGATGTAATCGTCATTATCATATGCGTTTAGGGTATCGCGTTCGGCAACGTGCAAACTTCAGAGAGACAGAGAGAGAGAGAGAGAGAGAGAGAGAGAGAGAGAGAGAGAGAGAGAGACAGAGAGAGAGAGAGAGAGAGAAAATAAATAGAAAAAAGAAGATAAACCAACGGAAATAAAAGTATGACAAAATTGAAAATGCACGATATATATGTACACAGAGATGTAATATATTGTAATAATAATAATAATAATAATAACTTTGAATGCTCGATCGCTAAGAACTCGGGCGACCTGTATGGAGATAGAAAAAAGTTCAAAAACTAGATAGTGTCTAGTATTTAAATATAAAATATATATAAACAGACAGAGATATAAAATAGATAAATATAATACATAATATATAGAGATAAACAGTAAGATACCGACACGATTAACAAAGAAATTTCTAGATTGATAGACTGAAGGGAAGGATATTGAAAATTAACGATATGTAAGGCAGAGAAGATGGAAAAAAGAAGAGGAAATTGTGTTCATCGGCGTCGAGGTCAAAAACGAGGTCGCCGACTACGTCCGGCATTCGAGTTAATGCCAGTCAACGTCCGGCTAAAACGCAAATGGTCGATATACCGTCGAAATGAGATTAACGCTTTTAACCTACCTCTACACACACGTATATGCGTGCTCTCGCGCAAGTCTAAGCTTCTTAATTGTCTCGACTCGACTCGACTCGACTCTACTCGTAGACTCTCGCGTACAGCTCCGTTTTCGCGACAAAGAGAGAGAGAGAGAGAGAGAGAGAAAAGACGAGAACGAAACGTCAAAATCATCTCTTTTTTCTCAAACAAAAAAGATCCATCGCGAATCACGCACTCGTTCGATTCAACTTTTGCATTATCTCGCTGCAAGAATACCGTAAAGAATACAAAGAGATGTTAAGGAGCCAGAGGTATGGCGAGGAGGAGGATGGGCTGAGGCAGGGGGAGGGGGAGGAAGGCAAAGGATGGCGCTTGGAAACATCGGTTAATAATAAGAATTTCAAAAGTCGCAGATAGAGAGTAATTCTTTGGATACGTGCTGGTGTAAAAGACGAGTCGGTATGCTGCTGAGATTACATTACGTGATTCTACTGTGAGATCGAGAGGGAAGAAGAGTAGGTACGATAAAAAAAAAAAAGAAAAGAATAAAAGAAATAATGAAAAAAGCGGACAAAGAATATACGATAGGACGGATAGAAAAAAAGACAAAAGAAAAGTAAAAGAAGGAAGAATATGCCGTAAGAGTATATTAGGTATACGTTGCTAAGAGAGAGAGAGAGAGAGAGAGAGAGAGAGAGAGAGAGAGAGAAAATCTTACGATAGGACAATTCGAATCGTTTCAATTCGGACGTGCTATCTTTGAAAGGTGATTATAATATTCGCGGCAAATTATATAATTCGAATAGTCGTCAAATAATAACGATCAGAATGGTCCTACCGCTCGACAATCGTAAATAATATGTAAATGCAGACACATCGTGACCGTACGGCAATTGATCTCATCGGAGCCGTCCAAGCAGTGCGATCGTCCGTCGCAACGTTTCTTACTGTCGAGGCACAATCCATCGTTGCATCGAAAATTTCCAGGCGGACATTCAGTTACTACAATAATTATCAAATTCTATATTATCTATATTATCATATTATCGTGCATAGGCAACCGTTAGTTCGTTCCCATTAGTTTAGTACAAATCATAATCGATTTCTAATGCCAGGCTAAGGTCTTACCACCCAGGTGAATTCAAATTTATACCTACCTACGTGTACCTACGTGTCTCAATGTATTCATGTGTACAATCAAGAAACATTCATAAAAAGAGAGGGACGAAAGTTTTTTCGAGCGATACGTTCATTACTATCTCATTCGAAAAGTAAAATACGACACGAATAGAGATCATCTCGAGTCTCTCTTATAAATGTACATTTCTTTTACAACGATTTATACTCTAAAGAATTTAAAGCTCATGTATGAGAGAAAGATGCGGGGAGGGGGGCGGAGAGAGAGAGAGAGAGAGAGAGAGAGAGAGAGAGAGAGAGAGAGAGAGAGAGAGAGAGAAAAGTAATGTAAATATTCGAGTAGGAGAGAACATGCGTCGTATAATGTACATATGTATAATAACTATCTAATAGATATAACCCGTTTATAATTATTACAACGTGCACCATACTTTTATGCATAAACGTGCAATCCCTGTTACGACAATCCTAAATCAAATCCGTACTCGTCCACTTTGGGTCATTTTTTCGACGGAATGCAAGGTAAGAAAAAAGTAGACGCATGCATCATAGCGTTTGAACGTTACTTTTCGTTTTATCCAAAGAAAATGAAAGATAGGATAAAGTGGGTTAATCAAGAGAACGTGCGATAAAGTGATATTACAGGACTTTCGTTGACCTTTTAAATTCTTATTCCGTATTCGGCTGGCGTACGACGTAGGAGCGAACGTGATTGTGTGCACGTGTATACGCGGGTGTGCGTTCGTGTTCCTACTCTCTTGCAGTTTAATCGAGATGCAATCATTACGTAGGCATATCGACAAAGTCGAACGAAAGGACATTTTCGTTAGAATCGGAATTTCTACTTATTAGCTGTCGAGAAAGACAAGATGACCGTCGTCGTATTGCGAAACTTTGAGAAATCGATAAACTTTTCCTTGATGGGAAAAGCATGTCCATTAAACTTTAAGGAATAAAACTTGTTTGCACGAACTAAAGTTCCAAATAATGATGTTTACGGGCATCTCATTTGTCTTTATATCCGTTCGCGACGACGACCGTTATTAATATCGTTCGATTAATAAAATTGATTACGTCGAAAGGATTAACACAAAAGGGACCTTTTTTACACGTCCACGTGGATGAAAGATTGAATTGAAAAATTATCCGGAATGTTTGTATGGTAATATAAATATACGTGAGTTTTCCGGTACGATGCTAATAATTCATTTTATTGATAATAATGATAAACTTGTTGCGCAACATGTAATATCAAATAGGTGTTACTTCCGGCAAACGAGTGAACGATTTAAAATGACAAAGAGTGCTTCGTAATAATCGGTATCTACTAGGTACCGGCGGCGGTTACCTATTGTGACCATATAATGCAAATGACAATAATTCAATGCTTTTAAAAAAGGAACGTTCTTGAGGATCGATACGAGTGGCGGGCGAGTGGGAAGGCCTGTTTTCTTGTCTCCTGCGATAGTGCGTGTGCGTGTGCGTAGGAGGATGAGACACAACGAGGATTAGAACGAATAAACATTAAATCTCGTGGAGCGTGAGTTATGAAGGGGGAATAAATAGTTACCACATCCAGACTCGTCGGATCCATCGACACAATTGCGTACCCCGTCGCATCTTTCGTTTTCTGGCAAGCATTCGCCACTGGCGCACTTCCATTCGGCAGGCGTGCAGATTCCTTTTATCAGACACAAGCCACGTACACGCAAGCTTACGAACAAAGCTTCTAAGCTTTTTCTTTTCTGTTATTCTTTTCTCTTTCTTCTTTTTTCTTTTTTTTTCTTTTTTTTTTCTTTTTTTTTTCTTTTTTGTCTTTATGAGACGAGACGCGCGTCAACGTGACGTTTCTCTCGTCGCTCCATTGACGTACGTGTCTTTTAAGAAAGTATACTTGGTAAGAATAAAGGCACAAGGTTAAATCGTTTGATTGGAACATTATCTCGTATTATCTCAAAGAGGAAACGTAATATATGACAAGTAGACGTTAAGCGTATGATAAACGTATAGAATATAAATAAAAGAAAAAAGAAAGTGAATGAATACCGGAAGGAAAGCTCTTACCGCAACCGCGCTCATCGGTACCATCGAGACAGTCGAAGATATTGTCGCATTTACGCTTGAGAAGCACGCATTTGCCGTCGTCGCAGCGCATTTCTCGATTAGGATCGCATTCCCACGTTTTCTCGTTCGCCCATCCTGGCCAGGTTTGGTCTGACGGCACATACACCCAACGTATTCCATAGAAACGATAAGATAAAGAAAAAGAAGCGAAGAAAGAAGAAAGTTGTGCATAAAGTGCAAACTCGAAAGATAGTAATAATACAGGCGGATAACTTGAGATTTAATCATTAGAGCAAAGAGACATTTGAAATGCGGAAGAAGGGAAAAATGCGGCGAGTCATGCTAGACCCGATTTACCGGATGCGATATAATAAAATGTATTTTTCAAGAGACGATCATTTCAACGACTACTTTCTAGGAAGCATCATCATTTTCTCCGAAATTCATCGTCGAGCGGTAAAGCGTCAAATTGATTTGGACATGTTTGTTTAAACGGTACTTTCGGCAACTTCCCGGGAATGCCCGGGATGACCTCACGGCAATGATCATCGGAGCTTGAGGAAGCTAAGAGAAGAGAAGAAAAAAAAAAAAGAAAAAAAAGCAAGAAAAAGAGAAAGCGACGAAACAACACACAGATAAAAAGGCGTACTCGTAGGCGGGCTGGTGGTATGTGTAATCGTTTCGTTAGCACAGTCCTCGTCGCTGCGATCTGGACAATCCGGATGGCCGTCGCATCTGTAGATACCCTCGATGCACTTGTTCCCGGTGAGACATTTGAACTGCGTTGGCGTACATTCCTGGTCTGTGTTTGTTTTCATTCAGCGTGACATACGAGCAGAGAACACACACATATTTTGTAAACGCACGAACACACGTGTTAGATACGTCGAATTTTATCGGGCTCGATGAAACAAAACAGCAAAATTCGCGTGTCATCTTCCTCGCTCTCTTCGATCGGTTTTCTTTCGTTCGAGCGGATGACGCGCGCTCATTTTCGATGCGCTTCTTTTCGTCCACGTTACGCGCGATCGTGTTTAATGAACCATTACGTATAGAGTATAACGATATCAATTGATACATACGTCCGGTTGGGAGAATTCTATATTATAAGCGGTAAGTATTATAAGCGGTTGAAACGAATATCGAAGCGGATACCACATTTCTAACGTTAACTAGCACTAATCCGACGTAGAAAGATAGAGGAAGAGCACGCGCTCATAAAGAAGATAATTCTACGGGGATAGAATCTATTTGAGGAGTCTTTAACGTGTAGCGCGCTTACTCGATTCGACGAGTTAAGTTGAAGGTGATTAGTCTCGGAACCGTTTAATTTCACGAAGCACCGCGCTCGAACGATATACGAGGCGAGAGGGCTGACCGCGCAATTTAACCGCCGCCCTTCTTTGAGGTTCGCTTGAGGAAAGAAGAAGAAGAAAAAAGAAAAAAAAAAAAAAAAAGAAAAAGGAAAGGTAGCATTTAAAATGATAAGAGATGTATGCTTTCTTTACGCCGTAAATAGATTCAACCAACTTGGAAAAGTCACATCTCGTAGAAAATCATCAAGGATTCGTATCAAGGGTGTGTAAGGAATAAAATATTATCTCGTTGCGAATCGCGACGCGTTCATCGTTGATCGTGTCTAATCGCGGATTATACGCGTAGAAATATACATTATAAAAATGATGAAAGAAATTAAGCGATAGCCCCATCGACAAGCATCTCTTGTGTACTTTCTCTTAAACGCAAAGCAAAGCGAGTGTTCATGAAACGCAGCGTCAGAGATCGTCTTTCGTTCGATAAGATATTTCAAATGAAGTAAGTAAGGCTTGTAAGTAAGTATGTTGTTCGAACGAGAAATTGTAAGAACGATTGATCCGACGTTGCGATTGGTATCATGAAAAGGGTAAATGGTTATATACCGCAATTAAGCTCGTCTTCTGCCCTCGGGCAGTCGTCGAATCCGTCGCAGACCGAACTCTTCGGTATGCAAGAGCCATCGCCGCAGGTGAAGTCCATGGAAGGGCAGGGGGCCAAACCTACGGGAGGCCGAAAACAAAAGAGCTTGTTTTTCAGTCGCGACATCTCGACGCCTCATTTTGCCTCTTTCCGAAATGTTTTGTCATCGCGCGATCGTATCGTCGTGTGGTAAGCTCAATAAGTCGTAAAATAAAATAATCGTGTCGTCGAGATGAGCTGCTAATGATGTAAGAATAATTATCGTACAAACGGTTATCGTCACGTATACACGTATGTACGTATAATACGATTCCTACGAGCTACGAAGAGCTTACAGAAAGACACATTTAAAGCGATCTTAGCCGTGACAAGGCATATCTTGAAACCGATAAAACACAGAAAGCTGATGATTAATCGCTTAAATCTCGATCATGGCGAGACTCTTTTTATAATTGTATTATCAGGAATCTCAGCGCATCTAAAGAACATGTCTAACATATAAAGCAATGTAAATAAGCTCTCGTACGAAGGTAGAGAGAGAGAGAGAGAGAGAGAGAGAGAGTGAGTCTGAGTGGTGTAGGTAGCGTGTCATGTCTTTTATGTACATGTGCGTGTATCAGCGACTCTTCATTTTCCGGGCAGTTTTTGTAAAGAAAAGAAAAAGAAAAGAAACAAAGAAAGAAACATAATTTAAAAATAATAAATTTACAAGAAGAACACGTAAAAGCGATCGTCGGCCATGATCATGTATGATCGCATTTGTCTCAGTTGCGATCCTTCGGTCGACGAATCGATATCCCAGCGAGGACATTGAAAAAATGGATATACTATCTTCTGACCCCTGAAAGAAAGCTCGTACTTTCTACAACATCGACTAGAAACAGAGGAAGAAGAAGAAGAAGAAGAAGAAGAAGAAGTAGACAGAAGAGAGGACGGACGAGTGACATTGAGAGAAAAAGTTGCTCCTCGAGCTCTGTCGAGTCTACCTTTTTTCTCGGAAACATCGCAATCCTCTTCATCGGTGCCATCGAGACAATTTTTAACGCCATTGCATAAGAGCAACGGGTCTATACACTTTCCATCGCAAGGAAACTCGAAGAGGTTGCAGTCCTTGTCGTTAAATTTGTCGACTTTCTTTATCACGTCAAAATAATAATCGCAGCTGTTCTCATCGGTGCCATCATCACAATCGGCGATCCCGTTGCAAACTTGTTCCTCCATAACACACCTATTACCTTTGTCGCAAGTGTGTTGGCTATCGTTGCACTTGTCGTCGTCGTCGTCGTCGTCGTCGTCGTCGTCGTCGTCGTCGTCGTCGTCGTCGTCGTCGTCATCGTCGTCGTCGTCGTCGTCGTCGTCGTCCTCCTCCTCATCCTCATCCTCATCCTCATCCTCATCCTCATCCTCATCCTCCTCTCCGTTCTCAACCGAATCCTCGGCGTAATCTTGCCCATTTTCCTCCGTTGCGCTTTTCGTCGAATTGTAATACAATCTCGTCGAATCCTCGTCGTACTCGTTCGATTCGAAGCTATCCGTATTCTTCTTTGATTCGATTTCTTTCAAGGTCGAGGTCTCGCCTTGATAATTATCGTTACAATCGGCGGGAATAACCGACGAAGAGCTTGGCTCGTCCGTTGCGTCCTTCTCATTTTCAGTTATCTCTCTCGAATCAAAAATATTCTCCCGAATACTTTCGGTAGTAGTCCCTTCGGTCATATTTTGCCAATTAATCATATCATCGAATAGAGGAAAATCGAACGATTCCGTAGTTGCGTTCGTTATGTCATTCGTTTCCAAAAAATTCTCGTTCTCGCTTGAGTTCTTCTTTGATAGAAACTCTTTAATATTTTTTATGGGAATAACGTGTAACGGTTCCTTTTCGAAAGTAAAACTTTTATATGTCGTTGATTCGATAGAATCAACATCCGGCTGGTCGCTCGCAATCTTGCCCTTGGTGAAACTTTCAATGAATTTTGTCGAATTTTTCATCACTTCTTTCAAGAATTTTTTTATCCAGAATTCGGCACATTTTGACGTACATTCGTTCGAGCCTGTTTCCCAATGCGTCATATTCATCTTCGTCGTCGTTGTTTTTGATACCGACGAATCACTGTCCTCGGAATAGCCGTCGTTCGTTTTATCTTCCAAATACTTTTCATCGTTCTCCTCGTAAACTGTCGAACTCAAAGTCATGCTCGAACTTTCCGTTCCAATCGTCTCGTTCCAATCCTCGCTCGTACCGACAAAATATCCCTTAGTACTCGTCGAATAAACAATTTTGCTTGTATCGTTCGAAAAATCATTTTGAGTTGACCAACGAATTAAGTTATCTTCCATCGAATATTGCCTTGGAGTCGAATCATCAAAGAGTATCGTATCCGAATTTTCAAATTTCCGATCTTCCAACTCGGGAAAAGATTTCAGCAACGAGGATACGAGACTCTCTTCCTCTCTCCTTCGATCGCTTTCATGATATTTCCAATGGCGTATCCATTGTTTCCCCAGTTTTCTAATTATCTGAGAGCATAAACTGTTATTCGACGAATTATTCCTCAAATATTCCTTGGCACACATCTCCAGGATCGGTCGCTTCTCCTTCAATCTTTTTTCACTAGTTTTCAGTCTCTTGTACTTGCTCGCTAGCGATGCTTCCTTAGCCTTGAACAACTTCCTTACGATCGCTTTGATGCGTTTGGGATTATAATTCTTTCGTTGGCTGTACTTTTCTACGATAACAATGAATCGAACGTTTGATCACGAATAAAAAAATTATCAAAGACGGAACGAGAAAGATCGGTGCTGTCTATCGGTTTCTTATCGGTCTTCAGCAGAATGAGACGCTATTAGGCGACTTACAAAAGAGAGAGAGAGAGAGAGAGAGAGAGAGAGAGAGAGGGAAAAGAAATAAAAAAAGATTTTGAATTTCGCTGGAATTTCATCGATGTGTCCGCGCGTCTTTGAGTTGCGTCTGTGAATGTGGCTGTGAGTGTGTAGGTGTGGGTCTATGAAAGAAGGGTAAGAGTAGTAAGTATGTGATATGAATGGCATAATTACCGCAATCCCTCTCATCCGAGCCATCGGAACACTCGTTCACCCCGTTGCACTGCAACTCGTAGCCTATACATCGGCCGTCCGTGCACCGAAATTCTGCATCTCCGCAACCTGCTCCATACACCACACTCATGCGCGTTTAAAGGTGATTGCCAATGCGTGAAGCTCCTCGTCAACCCTTTCTTTCTTATCCATTTCCTATCGACCCTTCCTTTTATACTCTACTCTCCTACTAGATCCTAACTCTTACCGTTTTCTCTACTTCGACCTACCTAACTTGTCTCCTTTAATTAATTTTCTTCCTCCTTTTCTTTCCCCCACCACACAACCAAATCCGTCATATATTGGGGATTTTTTAACCTTACGAATATTACCTGGCACAGTTTCTCCGACAGAGACGCGCGTGAGGAAGAGAGAGAGAGAGAGAGAGAGAGAAAAGACACGTCCATAATTTTCTTCCTGTAACGTTCCTAGCGTACTCCGGGGTACTAGCTTCGCATGAACACTCGGACGAGTGTTTGGACGGCGTGAAAAATTGCTCGATCGAATGTCACGTCGAGCGTGAAGGGATAAATTTAAGGGTCGAGACGCGATCGTTCGCGAGAAGCGACGTGAAAAATGAAAAGATTGAAGATAACGCGGTACGAAAATAATTTGAGGAATAATTTTGAAACAGCCACTACATATAATTGAACGATATCGATCACTCTTCTGCCGTCCGCGTTTAAATGTTCGACCAAATATTGAGAACAAATTTACGTGCTTCGAATATTATAATATCGCGATAACGTAGCTTCAAATCGCGGAAAGATGCGCGATCGCAAAGAAAAAATGACTTTGCCGAAGAGAGAGAGAGAGAGAGAGAGAGAGAGAGCGCTTGGCTGTCGATTTATCCGAAAAAAGAAATCTCCCGATTCTCTTATAGCTCTGCGCGCGATTAAAAGTTTTACGATATGGAAGAACTATGTGAAGTGTACTCCTTTAGATATGCTACACGATCCTACGCGTAGGACGATACATTAGCCGTCTATCGCAAAAAGCATCGCATATCGCATGTGCTTATCAAACGATAAATATTATTAGGATGGGTTTATCGAAAAGAGGTAAAGCCCGCTACCAGAATGCATGTTAGGTACCTGCTGATCGAATCTTATTGATCTCCATCGTTAAATTCTCTTCTTCTCTTCTTCACGCGCGTTTCATCGTTAATGATATTAATAATGATAAATATACAGCGACTGCGTTAGGTGTTAAACGTTCAATCCGGATAAGCGAAAGACAGACGTCCCTGGTGTAACGTCGCTTGGCACTGGACGCAGATCATTCTCGCGTTATCTCGTCCTTTTATCCGTGAATCGGTGTTCGCTTAATCGATCAACCTGTATATATCTTCAGAGGGTTCTTGGAAAAAGGATGAAAGTAAATAAGCAAATTGGCCCACTCACCGCACTGGTTTTCGTCCTCGCCGTTACGACAATCAGCCACGCCGTTGCATCTTTTGTCGATGCTCAGACAGATGCCGTCTATGCAACGGAACTGATCGCTGCTGCAGGTTGTTACTGGAAAAAGAAAAAAGGAAAAATGAAGAAAAGAAAAGAACGTTATAAAGGAAAGTACGCCGATATGCCGTAGAGGAGGGTAAGAATAGGAGAAAAAAAGAAGGTGTACCGGTGCAATTATATTCGTCTGAACGATCGTCGCAGTCGTTTCGTCCATCACACCTTGCCATCTTGCTGACACACGTCGTACCGCTGGCACATTCGAACTCGTCCTCTCGGCATCTTGCTAAACGCGTGCGTGCGCATTCGTGCATTGAAAAAATATAAACAAAAAGAAAATATACATAAATAAAACGAAATGAAAAAATAAAAAACATAAAAAAAAAAGGATAAAAAAAATACGTCAGGAAAAACAGTGACGCGCGGCCGCTTTCGTGTTTACGCTGCGTGTTTCAAAGCTCAACGCTCGCGACGAGTCTTTTCGAGCGTTCGGATGGGACGAATACGTCCTTTAGATAAATTTATTTAATCCGCATTATTACGTTACGTCACGAATCCTTCCTTTCTTCCTTCCTTCCTTCGATCGGTGAAACGTTTGATCGGTTCGCAGATGTGTATATATATATATATATATATATACGTACTTGTATATAAATGTGCATTTTCATCGTTCCATCGTCTACGAATAAGTCTAGTAATAAATAACGATTATCGATATTTGCTTGCTGCCGCAAGTTGAAATTCAACGAATTACTCGTATCGGTGAAACGTCCTGACGAATAAAATAAATAGCTAGGAGCAACGACGTGCTCGCTCTTCGAATCGATCGTACATACATTAGCATAAGGTCGAGTGATTACGAGCGAATAGAGAAGATACGAGGGAGAAAAAATTGAAAGTTTTCGTTAGACGCTCGACGACTCTACCGGATGGCTCTCCTTGGAAACGTTTCTAAAGATCGCGCTAATCGAAAAAGTGATCAACCCGAACTAAGAAGTTAGGTACGAGTTAAGGTCAGGCAGTTTAGTATAGCCGTTTAGTATCTTGGCTTAACGCGAATATCCAATCTATATATCCGCGATGAAACGACCAGTTACGCCGGATAAAGTTTTCCGTTTTTCTAATAACGAGCCTGAACCACGCCTCGAGAACGTTAATTAGATCCTTCGAGTCCAAGTTGAAAAGCGAGCGTCGAACGTGTACGGTCGTATCATTGATACTGAGACCTGCCGAGTTTGAGACGCCAAGTAATATAATAAATAATATCTCATACTCGTTCCGATACAATTTTCTTCGTCCTTTTTGTTGGAACAATCGGCGTATCCGTCGCAGCGACGAGATAGATCTACGCAGTAACCGGCCGAGCACTCGAATTGGTATTCCCTGCAGGCTGTAAGAATCACGTTTTAAAGGAAACATCTCACGCGAGAGCGATCGACGAGACAACGATTTCGGGAAGCGTTAGTGTCTACGAGACGAGAAGATGACAAATTTTGCACAAAGAATAATGATGGAGATATTCCCGAGGCCCATGAAAAGGAGTTCGCTCTTTACGATGACCCTGTGCGTATAAGAGCTATGTGCGTGCGTGCGTGCGTGCGTGCGTGCGTGCATGCATGCGTGCATGCCTGTTGAATGATTATTCAATGAAAGAAAGCAATAACATTATAAACACATACAAAGCGCAAAAACATTAAAATGTTTTAACAGGACGAATGTACGATCGATAAATCTAAACGCGCGAGTCGAACTAATCGCGACTTGTGAAGTAACAACGATGGCGAACCAACTGTAGTAAGCGAAAGGATGCCTTTTTAACGAGCAAAGAAATGAAAGGCGCCAAGAAGAAATTATTCGGGAATGTGAAATGTGCGAGTTAAGTGGTTCGTCTAATTCTACAGCCATTAATTAACACGCACTTGAGAAAATTTCGTAGAAAGGAATTATTCGTGAAACGAAGAGTTACGAGAGAGAGAGGAGAGGCACCTCTGCCGTATATAATTGAACATCGGCAATTAGCCAATCAACGAAGACGAACGAACGCGAGTCGTCGGCCAAAGCATATCTCCACTCGTCGGAAATCGGCTATAAACATTAATTTCGTCGAGCTTATTATTCAAAGAACGTTTTTTCGGCCGAAGAATCGTCTTAGGCCGAACGCAAGATTTTCGTAGCAGTACCCCCTGGCCTCTGGATCGTAGTACGCCGCTGGAATTAATAACGAAATGGGGATATGCAAGGTGCATACTCACGATCGAGAAATATTTCTTCGTCACTGTCGTATCACATTGCGTTTTAATTTACCGCGCGGGCTTTTTCGTCAAGCGTGAAATGCAGAAATCGATGGGCACTCGCGCGTCAGATGCTAATGCCAACGACTGAAAATACGAAGCGTTCGTATTTTCTATCGTCCTGAACCTTTATTATCCTTCATTGTCGTACACATTTTCTCTACTAGAAAGTCATTAGATTTTCCTATAAACTTTAGAGAGGATTAACCCTTCCGAGGTAACGTCGAAATACTCTCGAAATACTCCCGAAATATCCCCGAAATATCGTCGAAAAATCACGAAAGACGAGAGACGTCTGCCGTACTGTAACGTGCACGTGTTAACAAAAAAGAGAGATAAATGGAAGGCGTTAAACCGCGGCTAATACAATCGCAGTTGGTAGATTCGAATGGAAGCGGGAAATATATGACTTGGCTCGATTGGTACCGCTCATGCGTTGCCAATCGAGTTATCATTTAAAACGATTTAGCGTACCCGTGGCTCCACGTACGTGCCTCTCGATTACGATCCGTGAATTTCAATCGTTTTTTAGCTACGCGCAAAACGCCCAAAAAGAAACTATATTATCGTTTCTGTTTTCTCTACGCAAGGAAAAGAGAGCCGTCAACCCTCGCCGAGGCTCGAAATGTTTAACGCTCCGAGAGAGAGAGAGAGAGAGAGAGAGAGAGAGAGAGAGAGAGAGAGAGAGAGTCTCCGTTCCTTCTGCGTTCCGTCGCGAATTCGAATTGGATTAAAGCGGTGAAAATGCGAAATTCCTGGACAGAGCTGATGGAAAGGGCCGAGCGTTTGGTCGGCGCGACCGCTACAGATTAACGTCGGATTAAAATTGTGGCCGGTTATTAGGGCGGCTTAATAAACGGGAGTAAATCTCGTTCGGCAAGGGCCCGCCGGATTTGCGCCGGTGCTGAAAAAAAAAGGGTTGCTGATTTCTCTTTATCTTTTACTTTTTTCTTTTTTTTTCTATTTTTTTTCTATTTTTTTTTTTCTTTTTTTTTTTTGTTTACGCGGTACCGCGACTCACGCCAATCATCGGCAACGAAATTGCTAACGAACCATCGAATTAAAAATGGAAAAGGAAGAGGAGAGAGAGAGAGAGCGCGCGGGAGAGGGAGAGGAAGAGAGAAAGGGGGGAAGAGAGAGATCCAAGTATTAGCTCCCGCGAACGTTGGCCCTTTGAAAGATAAAAAAAAATTGGATCGACGGTGCGACATAAAAGTTATATACGAAATCGAGCTCCGTTAGGGCGATTAAAGGGCCGATGGTTAGCCGGATGGTTAGGACGTGCGAGCGGAAGCGGTCGTGCCTCGACAAAAGACGCCGGAAATAATAAGGGGCTAGGCTAGAGATCGGAAGTGGTTCGAAGGCAGCTCGAGTGCAACGGCCTCGGCTAACCACCCTCCTCGAGCTTCCTCGCGCGCACGCGATCGCCATTGTCACAGCTATTAGAATTATTGAGCAGCTCATCGTAATACCTCGCGAGGCTCTCGTACGCGATTAGTTCCACTGCATGCGAACGCGCGAGCACGCCCGTAAATAATATTCTCTCTTGTTCCGATATCGGCGAGAATCGCTAAGAGAAATAATGCGTCTCTTGTATGCACAAATAGGAAATCTCGAGGCTAACTTGGCCAACGAGAGAGATTATGCTCTCTAACAAATATAATCTACTATAATGAAATACAAATATAAAGTGTTTACCTTTCTCCGAATACAATGTTCATTCAAATTCGATGGAAATTGAATAATTGATCGTGTCGAAGCGGGGTCATTGTAGCTTCTAATCGACGTCGATGAATATCGATCGTTTTCGCCTTATCCGGTTGACACGAATCTCTCTCTCTCTCTCTCTACCATTATCTATCCTTCTTTTCGACAGGGTGGAACGTAAAAATAAACTTGTTCGAGGAGCGAAATAAAGAAAAGTGCAAGAATATCGTTCCAACGGGGACGGCGGAAAGGCACGCGTAAATATCTATAACGAGTAGAAAATTTGGGTATTAGCTCGAACGAGCAAACAGCTTTTGTCGTCGTAGATATATACGTCGTAAGTATAAGAGAAAAGTGAACGGCGCCTACGTTGCTGCATCTTGGGCCATGGTTTAGGTACGCTTTTCGCAACGACCATACCACGATAGGTAGGAGCGTTTAAAAGGCTCGATTTAAAATAGCATAGTCAGCTAGACGAATTACGCACAAAGACGTGTACACATATGATATATGAAAAGCACGCAATTACTTCGTTTACACGAACAAAATGTATTTTTGACGGGCACGAGACACCGTTGCCAAGCAACATTTTTTTTATTTTTGTATTTTTTACGCAGACGATACCTCCATTTTCTATTCGATACTTTGAATAAGCTACGGAGATCGATACTCACGACAGCCATATTCGTCCGATCTGTCTCGACAATCCAAAACACCGTCGCAATGCTTGCTTCCGTCGATACACTCTCCGTTCCTGCATTTGAATTGGCTCACCGTGCACGCTGAAAATAAAAAATAAATTATTAAAAATAAATTCTTTCTTGACAAGGTTCGCGACCGTAAGTCTACCGAAATACTCGAAGGTATTTGATATACGAGAGGAACGATCGCGAGAGCGATCGGTATTTAATACGAGTTCTATCTAAGAGGTTCCCACGAAGCGTCGGATGAAATTTCAAAGGCGACGCCACTTCGAGAGAGAGAGAGAGAGAGAGAGAGAGAGAATTCTGACTTTTCTTCCCTCTCTTTTTCCTTCAGAAATTTCGTAAATCTCTCCTAACGCGTTATACGTTAGGGAACGTGGACGCATAAACGTACGACGAGTTATCGACTCGTATGAGCTCGTAGAACGTATCGACGGGGATGTCCCATAACTGACAAGAATTCGTCGCGAGGAGCTCCGATTTCATTGTTTCTCCCTCCTTTTCGTTCTATTCCTCGATACTTCCTATTTCTCTTTTCGTCTCTTTGCGACTCTGACCGTTCTCGCGATTCGAACGTCCGTTTGAAAAGCATTCAAAGCTAAAACGGTGTCCGGCTCGCGTCTAAAGTTACGTTGTCATTTTAAACGCGAGCAAGCGGTCACGTCGCAAGGGATCGACTTTCGCTCGATCGACAGCATACGAGTGAGAAACTTTCTGAAATGTCGCTTTTACTCTTGAACGTTCTCTTCGAACGTTCTTCTTTCATCGGTTCTCGGTTATCGGCCGATGAGTACATACGTAGAGATTTAGGTAGGTAGGTAGGTAGGTGGATAGGTAGGTAGGTTCCATAAGAGGTATATATCGACGAGACTCCCACGAAGTTACTCTCGTTGGAGCTGGAAATGGAGGTTGCGCCACGTTGCGGCTTGACGCGGAAGGGCGAAAGGCGAGTTGAAAGGGTGAGATGGGCAGAGCGTTGCGGCTAGGCTGCCTGAAAGGTATGCTTTGACACGAGAAACTGCGACTCGATGACACACACTCCACTCTCGGTACGTGGCTCTGTAGGTGGCTCGGTCGAAATCGAAGTACCGCTCCCCAAGCGAGAGGGGGACGACGGGAGGAGCAACGGCCTAAAGCCACGTCGGCCTCGTGCCTCCGCGTTGCAACGCGAGCTCGCGCGTCTAGGAAATACCTTCGTAAGCGCCTCTCTTTCGTTCTCCTATTTACAAAGCATCTCTCGATTCTCGATAGATGCGAGCCTTTTGAAAAGAAACGTTCTTTTGACGAGAAAAGGATAGAACGAAAAGCGAATCGTCAAAACGGTCCTCGCTCTCTCTCTCTCTCTCTCTCTCTCTCTCTCTCTCTCTCTCTCTTGTCGACCGCTAAATGGATGCACCGCGCCAAAGTTTTCTACGGTAAAGGAGATATTAGGCGGTACGAGGCGAACGGCCGGAGTCCCCAAAGTCCATGTTTACAATATACATTTTTATGACTCCGATTTTTTTTTATGTTTCTTAATCTTAACGCGAGTTCAAAGTTAAAAAGTTTGCGAAATTGCATGCACCTCGATAACGCTGTCACATCGACTCCATGCCTAACTTTCGTAGTTTGCGAGAAACAATATCTTTTCCCTTCTCCTCCTCTCTTTTTCCTTTTCATTATTTCTACGAGATTGGTACGCAACGTCAATTAGTCAGAGATTCTTTTTCGGTAAATCGAAGCCTCCATCGATTTCTATTCCTTCGTTCCACCTCAGTTAGGATCCAAAACATTGTATTTTCTTTTCTTCGTTGTTAACTCGTCAGAAAAGTTATTTGCGTAAAACACCTAATAGTTATAGATAGACGAACTTGGGTTCGTGCGTGACCGATAAAAAGGAGGCTAACGAGTACTTGCGACGAGTAAAGCGCGCGCAATAAAAATGCGTGAATACCATGTCACGTACGGATATATAGGAGGCAGCGCTCCATTCTATCGTCGATCTCTATTTCGAGTCTTTCAATTTTCGCCCAAACGTACATTCATATATTTATTCCTTGTTATTACCGTCAATTCGATAAAACGACATACGAATTCGTAACGCATTCGTATATCTAATCGGAATATTCCTTCTTATTCGACTCAATTCGAAAAAGAAGACCGTCGTATGGCTATAATTATCATAGATAAAGTAGCGACATTGTTCCCCGTGAGGATTTAATTGTACTTGGTCTTGTTAAGGCGAAGAATGTGGGCGATGTTTCGGGTTGGACTAATTTACTATTACTACTCTGAGATTCTGTGTCAACGAGCGCGAAACCCCGAGTGGATCCTCTCTCTCTCTCTCTCTTTGTCTTCCGCCGAGACCGTGTCTCTACTTTTCAGACCTATCGTAACGAGAACATTAATATCGCGTGCAACGGGCCGCGAGCGTTTACGAGCGGATCGCGGAAAAGCCGCGCGACGTGCGCGCGAGAAAGCGAAAAGAGGAAGAAGAGAGAGAGAGAGAGAGAGAGAGAGAGAGAGAGAGAGAGGGAGAGAGAGAGAGAGAGAGAGAAGAGGCGAAAAAGAAAAAGGAAATAAAGTTTTCTCGCCTCCCGTCACAGGGCGAATTTATTTCTCGGCCACCGGACAATATCTTTTTCCTCGTTGAGTGGAATCTTTCTACTTTTTATTTTCTTTCAACGCGCCACCTTTTTATCGGATTATCAATGTACCGTGCGAAGAGCGAGCTCTTGAAAAAGATTGCGATCATTCGGGATTAATGTTATAGAATTCAGAGAGAGGAAAAGAAACTCTTTGAGCTTTACGCGTAGATACCACCGGATATGCTCGGAAAATATTTTCATTCGAGTTAATCGGAAGAAACGTTTGCGTCAAACCCGAAGAATTCGTTTCAAATTTATGTCCGTTTGAAAGTATATCTAAGAGCATCTATAGGCAAGAAACGTCACAAAACGCGACCTTTGACGCGACGATTTTGACGAAAACCTTTCTTACGACTTTACGGATGTGATGAACAAAAGAAAGAGATAAAAGTGAATGCATATATGTATGTGTACGTACTAAGAGGAGAAACGATAAAATGTCTCCTTTTGTTCGAAAGAAAATGGCCGATGTGTTTGCCGAGAGAACGTTGCGTTTTAACGAATTATTCTACTTCTAATAATATTACTAAAGGCGATTCCGCTAGAATATCAGGGAACACGTAGATAACGATGGTAAACGGCATAGGAAAGATAAAGAGAGAGAGAGCCAACACCTTGAAACGAATTGTTCTCTCGAAGAGACAAGAAGTGCGTCCGTACGCGTTAGTCGAGTGACATGTGTACTTATGCAATGACGCTTATCTCTCGCATTGCGTAATCGAGAAGGAGACAATTACGTTTATCTCTAGTTATTACCGTTCTTTTACCGTTCCTTCTTGAAAAATAATTATCCGAGAAGAGACGCAAAGACATCGAAGAGTATAATATCCAAACGTAAAGGAATCGTTTTTATAGGGAAAAATATGGACGGCTATTTTTGTTTCTTTTCCTTTCTCTTTTTTCTTTCTTCCTTCTTTCCCATAATTTGACGATTGCGAAAAATCTATTTTTCGGTCTCTGAAACGTAGTAGAAACGTGGTCGTCGGAAAAGGGATGTAGTTACTCGGTCTCTTTCTCAACGACGCGTGATACACGTCGCGACGTAGATACTTTGAGTGCTCGAGTTACGAAAAAGAGAGAGAAAGATACACGCGCATATATCAAGACGCGAAGAAAAACGCGGTACAATATAAAGCTGAGGATATTAGCATGACAAGCAACGAGCATCAAATTGCTGGACCTAAAAGCTGCGCGTCGGTGGAAGCTCCCTCTGCTAAATCGTCCGTGCCGCTTCTAATGGACTGCCGACGGAAAAACTTTTGACCTCGGCGAGCTTTCTTACGAAGCGAACGCTTCTTCTCTTCCGCCGTCTTCTCGGTCGATCTTGAAAGAATATTAGTCGGTTAAACGGCGAGCATAGCGATGTCACGGCAAAATACGAGGGCTAGAAAAAAAAATTCTCAATGACGTTTTCAAATACGGTTTCAAGACTTTAGAGAGTAGAATTTCATTCGCATTCGTACGAACGATCGCGTCGGCTTATCGCGTTCGACTCATTCGTGAATCGCGTTCGATCGAAAGAAAAGAAAATAATGCCGTTGGATCGGTTTTTTCTCGAAAAGAACGGGCGTGTTCGCGCAACGACGCGGTCAACGGAATTTCCGTCCGGCGGAACGAGCTTGGTTAACATTATTGTCACATAAATGGTGGTGGTAATCGTTTTACAAAAATTAACATCGATTTTATAAGGAAATTTGCATGAAAAATCCTCGCTCCGTATGCCGAGAACGAAAGCGCGTATGACGCGTAGCTTCCTGCTCCACGTAACGAACACACGTTACTCTATATATATATATATATAGAGTATATATATATATATATATATATATATATATATATATATTACTATAGGGTCTGCACACGCACACCGATCATGCGTTGCGTTTCTCCTGTATACGAGAATAGTAGACGCGCGAAAGAGAAGAAAGAATTTCCACAGGGAAATGACAAGAAAGTCGAATATAATTTTGTCTCGCTCCCCTTATCATTTTATGTAGTACAATATTCAAGTAGACCGTTCGTTCCAATTATTATCGTCTATTTTTCGTCTCGGCTTTGCACGATTCTAAAGATAAATAATTAAGTTAAGTTCGCTGATGTAATTTTCGTTCGTCGTTACGATAAAACGAATATTACATTCGAATATTATATCATATCGAAAATAGTTTATGCCGTGGTTATGTCGTAGTATTTAAAGAAACGCAAACATTATCTCGAAATGGTAATAAAAACGGGAGCGATTTTCCTTTCGATTCGATCGAAAATGATAATCGAGAGAGCATGTCCTGGCGCAATCCGTAAGACGCATGCACGTGTACGCGCGCACGCAATGCACAAACATAAACGATATATTATAGTCGACTATGTTCGCGAACACAAAGTGTCGTAGACGCGTTAACGCGAAATGCCCGCTCGACGCTATGCGCCTGGGATTCGACGTATTTTAGTGGC